TTAGATTTTTAATTATTTTGTTCTTTAAACCTAGTATTTTATTTCAAATCCAGTGTAATGTAATCTTGATCTTCACTCAGAATCGTTTTTCATCATGTCTTACAGACTTATCGTCAGTTTTTAAATTTAACACATTCAATATGTACCTACCTACTCAATAACAAAATACAGCTGTATTATTTTATTTATTAATTATAGTTATAATTGTATAAAGTATATTGTTTACATTGTGTTTTTATTCTTTTTAGAACTTGAACATAAATAGTTTATTTTATTTTATAAAAAAATCATCGAGTATTAAAATACAATTAAAATAAAAACTACGATGTGGATAAAGATTTGCTCTATTGCTAAAATTTGGTAAGTCTAGTGAAATGTGTAATGTTCAATAAATACTTCCGCTCAAAACAGATTTTACTAAATTATAAGTTATAACATTGCAAAGTAAATTAATTTTTTCGTAATAAAATAAATTATTACTTTCTGTTGCGTAAAACACAACATAATAATTATTGATAACTTTGTGGCGATAGCTCGATACACAGAAATTATCCGTTTATCCATTATAAAGTAAATTATAGGCTTATCGCTTTTTTCTGTCACTACCAAAAACCAGTCTAGAAATATGTTATTTGTCGTCAGTATTAATAATATAATATTAATTCATACAACGCTACCTATCGGCAGCTATTATAAATAAAATTTTAGTCACCGAAAATCCCTATACCATTTGCCTATCCACAGATATATAATACCCAAGTCGGTTATCTAGTATTTTTATATATCTGTGTGCCTATCTGTCTATTCTATAATCAATGATAATAGTGATAATACTATATAATTGATGAAAAATGATTTTGAATGAAGAGTGAAGACAGATCAAGATAAAATTACAATTATCATTAATGTAATTTTAACAAACTTTGTATTTTTTGTTTCACTCAAAATCTAAAATTAATAAAATAGGTAATTTGAGTATTTGACTTAGAATAAAGTAAGTACCTACTAGGTATAAAGGACAAACAAGTTAAAAATATAATAAGAATATTTTCTTTGTTATTAAAGAAACATAAAATAACTATTTATACAATAAGGATATGTATTGAAACTTAATTATAAAAATAGTTGTAAATTGTAATATTTATTGGTTCTAAAAGCGACTGTTTAAAGAACCGACGCTAATAACTCTGAAAAGGCCAAAGGACTTACATGTAACCGACACAATTAGTCTTAAAAATGATAATTAATATCGCTTATATATTGTTCTACATTAATAGGTGTAATGTCTGAATTAACATAAAAAAAATTATAAATTATGAAAATATAATTTTTATATTGTTTAAATCTGGTTCAATATTTTCAATTTTAGTTTTGCTAAATGTTGTTTTATTAAATATTTTACACATTAAAAGTTAATCAATTACAATGAAAAATTACAATTATTCATATTTATAATAGGTAGTCACAATACATTTTTTTCATACGTTTATTACCTAAATATCCTGCAAAATATGAAACAGAACAGTCCCCCAAAGTAATATCATTATTTATGTTTTTATTATTAAAAGAATCCTCGTTAAATGATATAGAAGAGAAAGAGAAATTAAAGATAATATATAGGTACCCTATTACCGTACATTCTGTGTCAGAATAAGAAGACAATGTGTTAAACTGTTTTTTTATTCTGTTAGAATTTATTTTACATTGAGATATTACCAGGTCAATTATTATAGCCTATAGCAGCGGTTCCCAAACTGTGCTCCGCGGAGCCCTTGGGGCTCCGCAATGGTTTCTCAAGTGCTCCGTTCATTATTACACAAAAATGTAATAATTTTAAAATTGTTTAAATTATTTAAAACGAATATATATATGAACGTTAAATATTTCTTGGGGCTCCACGAGAAACTTCTCCTTAAAAAAAAGGCTCCGAGGTTGAAAAAGTTTGGGAACCGCTGGTCTATAGGGTTTTCAACTCTTGTGGACCATAGGCTATGGTTGCTTTTGCAATTTATTCCTTTAAATGAGTTCTGGCAGTTGGGATTTTGTTATAACCACCATTTTGTCAGAAAGTATTAAAAAGATTTTTTAACATAGGTAGGTATCCTGATTTAATCGATAAATCATTAAAAATACAATATAGGTAGGTAGGTAATTAAATTTATTAATCAAAATACTATTATTTGTCTGCATAAAACCTTTAAAACAGAGTGGTTGAGTTAGTTTTCTTTTTTTGTTAATTTGAGAAATATTTTGAGGCTTCTATTAAAGAGTTGTCTACTCTGTTACTCTGTACATTACCTACATCGGTTAATGCATATATATGTGGACTATGACTGTATAAAGATCTGCTATATTAAGTCAACCTAGTCTATTCTATAGGTAATCAATGGTTTTAGCAAAGTACAGTTTAATAGGTACCTATGTATCCATACTTGCATAGGTATTTATACATTTATCTATAATAGTTGCTAGGTAATAGGTACCTACATAAAAAGCCGTTGTATAGCAATAATTAGCAAATGTCAAATGCTTACTCGTCATTGAGTTGGTTAGTTTAGTACAATATAGATAACTTGTAATAAGCAAATTTAAAAATCTTGATTTATTATCTGGCTTTTTAAAATTAGGTAAGTAGTCAAAATAAAAATATTATTTTAATATCATATGTTATAGTTTGTATATTTTCTTTTTTAGATTAGATGGCTTTTTTTTTTTTTTAGGTATTGTGGGCATTTATTTAGGAATCATCATCAGAAACGATGAGTTACTTTTACGACGTTTTAAACAAAATAAATAGGTACAGTAAATAGTCGCCGCTTATATTAGTCCCGATTTGAATATACCTAACTACCTATCACAAGTAATGGTAATGGGTTCAAGTAATATAAGTAGGTAACAAAAATACAAATATAATCATGGTAGGTATAAGTAATTGTATTTTTATTGATTTGTCTCCGATTATTCCGATTGTAAAATACATAAATTACGTACACAAATATACATTAAGAATGAATTATGCCGGATTACATAAAATTAATTTAAATTTGAATGGTTCACTAAAATGTAATTGGCCAATCATGGGCCATTCAATCATATTTATTAAAGACAGCATTACATCATTATTGACTCATTCCATTTCCTATCTGTATATATTTGAAGATTGTTTAAGCAACTCAGCAACAACTATAGGTAAGCATAGGATTGGGATTTTTTTTTAAAGCGTGGGACATACAAATTTTTGAAATGTAATATTGTAAAAAAATTGGGATGAGACGTCCCGCTTCATTAAAAAGCGGAATTCGGGACACTAAAAAAAAATTAAATAAATAAATTATAAATAGATAAGGTACCTTTAATAAAGTCAAATAATCAATATTATTTTAATATTAGTTGCTAAAAATATTATGCTCCAAGTGATTGTAAAACAAACGGGATTTTCTTGTTCCACTCGCTTGTTAAACAGGATACGGGACAAAAATTAAAAAACGCAAAAAAATAGTAACATACGTAACCCACTAAGAATTGAAGCGGGACGCGGGATAAGTAGGTATATTAAAAATTGGGACGTATCCCAACCTTAATTAACTTAATAACTTAGGCCCTAGGATATTCCTATACATTACAAATTAAATTGGTCAAAAAATCAACTTGAGACTTTATATAGCTTATAGATATAAGTATTAAGGTATCAGAAATTATACTTCACATTTATAATTGTTTGCTTTAAAATAGATTATCTATCTTAGATAATATTTTAAATATTTAATATTTTTATATGTTAAATTGCCTGGAAGACTTAAGAATAAATATTTTAAGACGTCAAGTTCATAAATGTATTAGGTATCTAATATTGGGAAATTTATTATTTGTTACTAGCCGAAACAACGAATTTAAAACATTTTTTAGCATTTGCATGGCATATTCTTGTAAATTTATAAAAAATAATATACAACTGATTACAATTAGTTATATACTATCACATATTACATGAAATTTAATTTTGCATATTTTCTTCAAATATTGTTATGCTCTTTTATTCAAATTTTTTTCTTTCACTATCTAACAATAGTGAACAATCTGAATATTATTTCTATAGTACTGTGGTCAATGATTAAAAATACAAATAAAATATACTTCATACAGCTTTAGAGCATTATAAATGAATAAAGAATAATACTTTTAATAATACAATTATTATTTTAAACAATAATAACAATTTAAACTAAAATATTTGCCAATTTGTAATGCATACTTACTACAATAAATTGACAACCCTTGTTTTCATTTAATTAAGAATTAATTTAAGATTTTAAACAAAAAATTAGTTACTAAATAAATTTTTTTAAATAAATAATACACTAAACTCTTCTTTATTCTCTATACAATATTTTATGTCTGTTTTAATTTTTTTAATGTCATGAAAGTACAAAAATATAATACTGAATCTTATTTTGTTAAATTTTTCATTGTTTAAATTTAAAATATTCAATTAACATCAATACTTTATAGTCTTGAAATTAAAATATTATTCAATTACTTTTTAATTATTATTAAAAATACCTAAGTAAATATGTTCTTAATCTTAGTTAATTAAATATTATAGTTATTTTCTCATAGCAATAAATTAATGTAATGAAATAATATAGTAATACACCAAAATGATAAAAATAACAAGTATACCTTGTCCAGCAAGAGAACACACTGCCTTAGTTTCAGTTCTACTGTGCATCTTTATGTGTTACCTTCACATAGAAAAACTGGTCTCAATGGCAGGGTGTCGAGTGAAAATGCACAGAATCAGTATATTATCTTGCTGAACCAGGTATTTGGATAAAACGTTTAATCTAATTAATATTATCAATGTTCTTAAAACCAAACAATAAAAATCTAAATAAATTAGTGTATTAGAGTAGGCAGAACTATTAATTTTAAAATAAACAGAAAAACAAACAATTGAAAATCAGAACTCCCCAACCATTCTATAACATTGTACCATAATATAAATTTTGCTCCATTTATTTTATCAGATACACACGACACACCTATTATTGTTAGAAAAAACTAGTTGCCTATTTTAAAAGGTGGTATAATTTAGCACATCTGTATATAATAAAACCAATGGTGACACAATGTAGTAAGCATATTATTAATAAAATCAATCAAATATTTACATATAAACTTAAATAACACATAAAAAAAACTTGTATTTAATGTTAGGATGTGCAAAATAAAGACTAGAATTTGTTGACATGTTGAGGTGCTTCAGTCTCCAAGGGATTGCCTTTTAGTATAGCCAATATCATGCTAAAACAAACCAATTTTTTTTTATTAATAATACCATTTAGATAGTCTTAAAATGTTAAAATGATTAGATAAATTTAATTATTTTATAATAATTAAAATAAATGTATTGAATAATATTAGTAAAAATTGTTAAATCAATTACAATTATAAACAATTTAACAATTATACATTGCTTTCAAAAGTTAATGGGTAATAAATATTAATTAACATATATTTCAAAATATCTCATCAAAAATGATTTTAATTTACATAGGTAAATAAAGCTATATATACATTATTTGAATTATAATAATGAATACAATTATTATAATTTGTTTCTAATCCAAACAATTTTATATGTTAACTGTCATTTGCTACCAGTGGTCGAACAATATAGTTAGTTAGCATGCTAAACGTATTTTTCCATGTTATTTTTAATTTATTAAACTATTATACTTGAAAAATATTTAAAATATTTAAAACAATAAAAATAATATATAAAATGAATTATAATTATTTCCACAATACTAATGCACATTGTTTGGTGTGTTATTATAATACCATAAAAAAGTTAATAATTTAAATTCATATTCATTTACTATCACCAGATATCATGTGGTGTAATAGAAATGATCAGCTATGGATGCCAGAGGTAAAAAATGTATACAATTTGAGAACTATAGATAATAACTAGGACTAGGATTTTAATGACCTAAAAAACCTAAAAAAATGACCGAAAAAAATATAATTATATTAATAAATTAATAAATAATAATTATTATTTATAAGTATACAAATAAATTCATCTTCTGGTATAATAGCCAATATCATACATATAATGAATAGATATTAGCACGTTAAATTTAATAATAAATTGATGAAGATAACATGTAATCGAACATTATTATCGATTATTCCTCTGTTAATCTAACAAGTATATTTTATATTATACATATAAACAATTGGTATTTTGAAGTATTAAATATTTTTAGAAAATATGTTTATGATTTTATTTTAATGTTGTATCTTTATATATTTGTACAATAATTTATAACGATCAATAACGACTATTTAAAATTTTAAAAAATTAAAAATTAATAAAAATATAACCCAGATTTCAATAAAGTATAAAAAAAATGACCCTAAATTCAAAAAAGTACAAAAAATGCAAAAATATGCAAAATAAAAACTATATATTTGAACTCGTAGATGATCAAATCACATTTTGTGCTTGAAAAGCTATATCCTGTAAATCCTAAAAAAAAATATGCAAAATCCTATACTATCCTAGCACTGATAATAACCAATGGTAATATGACAGTTTACAACATGAAATATAGAAAATCATATAAATCTAAATATATTTTTAAGGCTTATAAATTAGAATAAGATTCTGTTTTAATAGTATAAATAATTTTTCACTTACAAGTATAAATAGAAGAAAAATGTAATAAGATACCATCCGGTAAATATTACAAAATTACGCATATGTTTTTTTAATTGACCACGGTGGTGAATCTCAGTTGGATCAAATAAACCTGTATTTCCTCTAGGTATGGTGACAAATCTATGAAAATGATTACAGAATAACTATTTAAAAAAAGAAATTTTTATATGTATCAAATGCTTACTCATAAATAACCCATGCAGCAGCTGGAATATTTACAAGAGCCATCCAAAAATTGTAATCAGTCAAAAACCCTACAACTATTATGGTTTGTGCAACAATTTTTGGTCGTACCCACTGAAAAAAAAAGTATGTATTAATATAAACATATTAACTAATAAAATTAATTATATAATCCTTGAAATTAAAAACATATAAAACTGCTGGTTATTATAAATAGTATGAAATATTAATGTTAATATTGAAAAAACATGGAAAGAAATATAAACTTTAAAAAAAACCTATAACAAATCGTTGATATCATATCTCAAAAACTCAAATTATTTTGATACTTTTAAGTAGGTAATAAAAATAAATACTTCATTTAAATGAAAATCCGACTTCTATTAATAAATTATTAAGGTTTTTAGTTTTTATCATAGATAAATTAAACTATAGGAAAAAAATAAGTATTGAATAATACAATATAAATTTAATATTTATTCTTTAATAAGCTCAAAACATCTTCATACTAACGATTATATTTTTATCGTGTGTGTTTATTATTTCTTTCTAAACACTAAACTGAACAGTTGGTCTCCACCCTACTGGCCGATCTAGCTTTTCAAATCGGCCTGCAAAGTTAACTGATGTTTTGAAAATATTATTAATTTATTAATAGTATTTCCAAGTAAAAGAAAAATAATTTAATCTTTAAATAAAATAAATGGTTTTTCATTAATTGTTAAATACTCCGTCGATTGCATTATCTCTGTGTTACCATGTTTAAGATGGCAATCATTAATCAAAAAATATATTCATTTTTTTAAAATCAAAAAAATTTCTATTTTATTCTCAATTTCATAATCTCTAATCCTTTAAAAAAATTGGCTCGCAATGCTAAAGTATATCTAAGATTTGGCCCTCTGTAAAAATGATTAAAGACCCCCTGGTTTATGTGTATACTTACAAAATTCAGTCTGTTGCAACATTCTTGAGCATTTAAATAATCACATTCGAGATCTGACAGTGTTATAATCTTTATAAAATATTTGTTAAAGAAAATAATAATAGAATATAAACAATACAATACAAAATAATAAAATTAACATACAGACATTAATAATAATATAAACAGAAATGTTTAAATATATTACTGAAGATCATCTAATGGAAGTTTTTTTACTTTATGAATTATATACTTTATTTTGTTTTCTCTCATATTATATTCAAATATCGTTCAACACTAATGAACATACTGTGCAATAGAAAAACTTAAGATACTAAGTTATTTTAATATAATATTGTTAAATTTGGTAGATGATTATTGAAATATTAGTTAATTATGGCATTAATTAAGTATGCTATAACTAGTCCAGTTTAACTTGCCACTCATCAATAGTTCCAATTTAAAAAATAAAAATAAATTCTTTTAATATAACACAATTTTTTTTTTTTTTTTTTAACGGAACTATTGCTGAGGTTTAAGAAGAACTAGACAGGTTATACTTACACTAAAAATACTACCTACAACATAAATCAAAAATTGATTTTATTAAGTCTATTATATATTAAATTGTTAAAATAATAATATATTTATTTATTTGAACTAACACAAACAAAATACATGCTGAAAATAAAGTATATACTGTATAATATTATTTAAACATATTGATAGTTTGATCACAGAAATAACTTGATTTATAGCTCTAATTGACAGATTATCGCTGATGACCAAAATGATAGCTAATGTGTTAGCAAAAGAACAATGTTATAATAATTTACAAAAATATTCCCACATATTAAATTAATACAATTAATATACTTCCGAATAATCAAAACTAAATTTTCAGTTCTAATTTTTATTCTTTTACTAGATTAATACCATAGTAATTACTAGTATACTGTTATATATTTTATTAGGCCATAGACTATAACATACATAATATACATACTAGTAGATATAAGTCAAATATAAGTTGCATACTTAACAAGTACATTATTTAATAACCAACAGACATACAAATATATTGTCTAATAAAAGGATACAGAGTATACCATGAGGAACAACAATGCTCCGGTCATGAACATGGAAAACGCATAAATCAAAATTTCCCACATTTTAATATTAGCGCTTTATCTCGAGACGTTTTGACTGTTTGAAATAATACAATAGGTAAATAAAATAACCGTTAAGCAAGATTCACAGCATCCTTGAAAATTACACCTCGAACACCCAATGACTACAAGTAAACGTGAACTTCAGTATGGACTAGTGAAACATACGAACGTTTTCAAAACTAAATTGACGTGATATGAATTTATTTATGCGTAGGTACAAAAAAGAAAACAAATGCGTCAGTCAAAAAATTTAAAAACAATAAATATTAAATGCAAATATAATAAAATATTAAATAATAATAAAAAAAAAAACACCGTGTCTTGATAAATCATTGTTTGGTGATAATACAATAAACGTGTTATCATCATAGACCTTATACTAAAGAATCTATGGTTATCATTGTTTTGTGATTGGTGATACTGATACACTATGCATGTATATTATGATATTATTACTGTTATATTTTGGTTGGCGACTACCTTGGTCGAATAATGGTCACAGTGGTCACACCAAGTCGGCATGGTGGATGGTAATAAAGTTGTCCGGGTTCTTAAGCTCAGCTGTTGACTGTGGTAAATCTCAGTCCGCGGTACGATATTATTTAAGTCTTCATTCTTCATGTGAGCTGATCTTTTAAACTCGATTTGAAGTCCAGTTAAATAACTATTCACTATTAATTATTGAAGATTGCCGAATGCCCATATAACCTTGCGGTAGGAAACTTGTTCGGGGTGGTTCGTTACTCATTAGTTTTTTGGCGATTGGCAAACAGTACTTTGCAGGGCGCAGTAACTAGGCTCAAATCTCCAGCAACGGATGATTTATGGTTACCATTCGATTACGCCAGTACAGTGTGGTACCATGGACACATTGACGATGTCTAAATTCTAATGGCTTGGCCGGTAATAACTACTGTTCGTTCAAAGGACCCAGGAATTAACTGTGGCAACTCCGGCGTTCTCTGGTGGGTTAGTTGAATTCCATCGACTTTTATTTATCGCTCGACGCGATTCCAAATGCCAATCAGTATTCAATTGTTTACTCGAAATGTGGATTTGAAATATTTGAATTACCATAAAACACCGACATATTGTTAAACTAAAACCTAGGGAATTTAAGTAAGTCATTTATAATATCTGATAGTCTAGTTTGTTAATGTTTGATTCACTCAAAGAACAAAAATACCTTTACTTATCACCAAGAATTAATATTTGCTATATTAAGTGCCTACAATTTTATTTGTGCTAAATAATGTTCCTAAATTAGGTACCCCATATGTCCTGTGTATTACGGAATTGTCCTGTATTTGAATAAAGTGTCCCAACACTAGTTTAAAAATAACACTTTTGTTCTGTATTTTAGATAGTCTGTCTCATATGCACCTTGTTTTAAAAATAAAATTTTTTCATATCATTTAGGTTTTTACCTAAACCATTTTATATAAATCAAATGATATTTAATAATTATTATTTGATTATGATTGTGTTTAACTTTATTTTATGGTATATACAGTAACTGTGAGGAAAATTAAATGTTACATCAAGACCAAAACATGTAATTTTAACTACCAAATGTTTACAAAAACTGCATGACAAACATCACATACCTATTTAATTTTGTTATATTTTAATTGCTAACATAAGTTCCCTCACCCCTCCTCAAAATTAACACCAATATTAATTACAAGTATAGGTATAATTTAAAATGTCTCGTATTTAAAAAAAATAAATCTGGGATCCCTATCCTAAATACCTACTTATTTAATATTTTTATACATGTTACAGTGTCAATTAAAATGGAAAAACATATACAAATACATTTAGAGAAATGTGATCATTTAATACCCAAAAATAAAAATATTTTGATTAAAACTGAAAAAGATCAACAATCAAAAAGTAATAATATTTATATTAAAAATGAGACTGAAAACATCAATAAGTGTGTACAAGAAAACTTAATTGATTTTGAATACAATATTGATGAATATAAACATAAAAATAGTAATTATTGGTAAATAATTTATTAACTATTATTTGATCATATTACCATAGTTAACTTATCATGTTTAATTTTCCAGTATTCCTAATGAAGTAACAAAAAATGTAAATCAGTACAAAAATATAATTAAAATTGAAAAAGATGTATTTAACGATTGTGTGTTTGAAAGTGAAATAGAAATTGAAATGCCAAGTATTAAATTCAAATATAATGACCAAATAATAGAAAAACAAATTCATTGTGTTCGTCCAATAGAAAATTTTGATGATCATTGTCCTGCTGTTCACGAACAGTTAGACAATAAAGAAAAACAATATCAGTGTAATATATGTAATAAACAACTTCATGACAAAAACAATTTAGAAGTTCACAAATTACTTCATACAAATATCAGGAAATTCAAGTGTACTACGTGTAGTGAGCAATTTTCGGAATTAAGTGATCTTAAAAGCCATTTGATATCTCATATAGACAGTAATATAAAATTGTTTGAAAATCAATTTCTCCAACAAGAATGTAATAATATTGATGAATGTAATAGAAACTTATGGTATGCTCAATAATAATTATAATTTTTTCACTATTCATAGTTACTTTTTTTTTTCTAGTAATAGTATTATATCAGTTGAGGGATTAAAGACAAATTATTCCAAAAGTGGAGTTCCAATTCAAAAAGAAATAATTAACAAAATTACATTAGGGTTTTCAGTAGAAATTGAACAATTAAATATTGAAGATATTTTATCAACCAAGGTTTGTAACATCGATTCAAGAAATAGTGTTGATTCAGATTTAACTGTTGGGAATGCAGTTAATTCTATTGCTCCAGTAAATCATGAATCAGTTAATGTGGCTGAATCATTCAATGCAAATTCTGTTAATTCAAAAAAATATAAAAATGATGAAGTTTACGAATGTGCTAAATGTAGTACATTATTTAATGATTGTCCAAGTATTATAGATCATCTCAAACCTCATACGGATCAATGTACTAACTGTTGTAAATACATTGGTAGTTTGACTTCTTGTAAATATCCTGTTAGCTTTAAACCAGGAGCACCAGTATATTTTGAATGTGATGAATGTTACAATGGGTTTTATACACTCAAGAGCTTTGGTAAATATATTAGTGCACAAAGTAAAAAAAAAAAAAACAGACCATATAAATGTGATATTTGTCTAAAAACTCATATAAGTTTTTATCACTTTGCTGCTCATCAACGATTACATAAAGGTGAGAGACCATACCAGTGTAATGTTTGTAATAAACTTTTTCACGCTAGATTTAATTTAGAAGCTCACTTGTTTTCTCATCAAAATATCAGGAGATTTGAATGTTCTCTGTGCACAAAAAAATTTCTAAAATTAAATTATCTCAAAATTCATATGAAGTCTCATAACTCTTTTAAACATGAATGCAACATATGTAGTAAGGAATTTGAATCATTGAATTCTTTGCAAATTCATCAAGATGTCCATTTTAAATACAAACCACATAAATGTATTGAATGTGGTAAATCGTTTTCAAAGTTTAAATCTTTTACTCAACATTTGAAAAGGCACAGTGGTTTGAAACCATACAAATGTAATCTCTGTGATGAAAGTTGTAGCACTTTTTTTGATTTTAAGTGTCATAAAAGAATACATAATGGAGAAAAACCTTACAAGTGTGATATTTGTGGAGATGAATTTACTGAACTAGCTGATTGGAAAAAACACAGAAAAACACATTATGAGAATAAAATGTTTGAATGCAACAAATGCCATAAAAAGTTTGGTAGTAAAACTGGTGTTAGGTGTCATTTAGAAACACACAAAGAAAGAATTAAGAAACACGCATGTAAAATATGTAATAAAGAATTCACAAAAAAATACAATTTATATGAACATGAAAAAATTCATAAAGATTTTAAACCTTATGTTTGTAACATATGTAAAAAGAGTTTTGTTTCTCGTTATAATTTTACCCATCACTTAAATCAACACACAGGTTTCAGACCATACCAGTGTGAATGTGGGAAAACATATCCAGCACTTGTATCTTTAATTAGGCACAAAAAAATCAATCATACATGTGATATTTGTGATAAGTTTTATAGTAACCCTCAAGAACTTAAGATTCACAAGACTACACATGAAGAATCTATGTTAAAGCAATTTGTGTGTCAATTATGTGAAAAATCATTTAACAAAAAAGCGTTCTTGGACAAACATTCTTTAACTCATCTGATTGAAAAACCGTACAAGTGTGACATTTGTCCAAAGTCTTTTATAAATCGAACTGTTCTAACAGTTCATAGAAGAAATCATACTGGTGAAAGACCATACAAATGCAAATTATGTACTAAGACATACCCACAATTTAGTTCATTATCTCGTCATGAAGCCAAAGTACACAAATAAATAATTTTTGACGCTATAATAATTTAAAAATAAAGCTTTAAAGTAAGTTATTAATATTTAGAAATGATTATAACTCAATTTAAAATTAAAATGCTAAAAATAAACTTACTAAATAATATTTTTACATTAAAATTTGATAAAAGGTAACATTAAACATAAAAGAGTTAAACGAGTTCTTTAGAAGTACAATTTTCTACACTATGTGTTTGTGACGAAAATAATGCGAACGAGTGTAGTGTCCTCTTAACATAAGGCTTACAGATATGCTTCTTATAAATGTTAGAATTAATAATTAGTTTATAAGAAAATGTATGATGTGATATGAAATACAATTTAATCAATATATTTTAATAAAATTATTTTTTTATTATTATTATTACAGAATAATATGTTGTTAATTTGTAATTTATTTTATTATTAATATATTATTTCGGTTGTACATTAAACAAAAAAAAAAAAACTCATTGCCATATGTAAACACAATAATGTAAAATTGTATTATTTTAATTTTACAGTGCATAAGTACTTATTTAAAGAAATAACATAAATTATAAGTAAGAATATTAATTATTTAACTTACTATGTGTGATATAATTCTAAGTGGTATATTTTACGCATACATATTATATTAATGTTGTTTAATTTTATACCATCTTAATAACTCATTAGTGGTAATTTTCTTATCAATATGACTGAGAACGATACTGTGATAAAATGAAAACCATTTATGTCTTAATGATTAAATAAATAAGTTTGTTTTATTATTTTCATAGTTCTTAAATGTTGGGCATTTTAATATTTTTATTCATGAATGAAATAATTGTTTCATTATTATTGCAATTAAAAAACACAATATATATATACATAAAAATCTTAGTACAAAAATATTTCATTACACAATCTTTTTCTTCAATAAACTGATTGACAGCAATTGAACAATTCCTTGTCGAATTTTCTCCACTTTACTTAATGACAACTGATCAGCAGTTTCACCATCTTCATTACTTTCCATAATGGCATCATCCAAGCGCATCGTTATAAGAGATATGTCGATGATATTAAAGTAACATTCTTTACTATTGTCAATGAATATCAGAACATCCATTAATAATGTCGGTCTAAAACTAAAAATCATTTACAATAATTAAAACATTATATTAATCAAAATGTAAGATAAATACTTACTATTCTGGACAAATATTAGATCTTAAAAGTTCTATGTACAATGATGCAGCCTCAATTAGTTTTTTATCTAAAGTGAGTTTAAGGAATTGTATATACTTTCCTAAAAAAATAAAAAAAAAATAGTCTAGATAAGACATAAAAAAATATCATTGTTATATTTATCGATTGTCATCAAAATAATTCTAAGGCACCAATTGAAACTATCTTTGATTATTGATTTGAGAATAATCAGATGTATTAGAAGATACATATAACAATATAATTAATAATAAAAATATTTACCAATGAACATAAAACGATCACAGGTGACAACGATTGATCCTAAATTGTCCAGTATATCTGGATTAGCAAAGCATCTAGATTTAACAAAGTCTTTCAAATATAGATCACCTAAGTGTGTAGCAAAAGCACTGTCTTGACCTCTTATTGCCCAACACAAAGCTTCACCAATTCTTGATTTTTGTAAACTTAACATTCCTTTCACTTTACAAACACTAGAAACTGATAATAACAATATATTTGGTTAATGAATAAGACGTTGGTCTTATAAGTTTTATTAATAAGCAATACATTTTAAGTAGTTAAAATAGCTTTTCTTTGATTTACTCACCAACATTATGCAGGCGTCTGGCTGTAGCATAATGTAAAATTTTTGACACTCTTAAATCTGATGTTATTTCCAACTTTGACAATAACACTGATAGATATCCTTTACCCACGGCTGGGCAATAATCTAAGTAAGTGATACCAGCTTGCCACAATGAATGATGAGTCATGAGAAATGTTCCATAATCAAGAAGATATTGTTCATTTGGATTTTTATTTTCCCTGAAAATGTATAATACTGGTTTATTATAAATTCTTTTTTTGGATATTGAATTAATTTTTATCTTACACTTCTTCAGATGTGTCAAACTCTGGTTCAATTTTATCACATAGATGTAATAAGTTAGTCAAATGAGTAGAGGACCATCCAGAATCAGGATAGGACTTCAATTTCTTAACAAACTACAATAAAAAAAAAATAGTATTTTATAAATACTCCTAATTTACCACATTTTGTTAGTTTTTCTTAATTATTAAGAAAAATCACTGGAAATATAATAAAAACCAACCATAAAGATAAAGTTTAAAGTAAAAAAAAAATATAAATTATATTGTTAAACCAAAACATTCATTGCTTATAGAACATATTTTGTAAAAAAAATTAAGTAGCTATTTTATTTTATATAGTATGAATTAAATTTATTGCTAATATTGATTTATATTAAACAGATTGAAAAAAACAAATTAACTTATGACTTCAAACTTAAGTCATTCATATAGTATTTTCTGATGTTACTCCATACTAGAGTAGTACAGATGTGCCCTATAATCCACTTAAATTCTAGCAACATTTATAAAACGTATCAATATTATGCAGAATTTCAAAATGTTTATATAGACACTAGTGAATGCCTAAAATTAATTTTTAATTTATTAATAAAAAAAAAATCTAATAACTAATCCAGTGTTTCTCAATCTGGGGGTTGCCAACTTATTAATTAAGGTTGCTAACCTATGATTCAAATACAAAAGTACAAAAATTTAAAAGCTCAAATAATAAAATAAAATAATGAAAAAATAAAATCAATAAATATAAAACACTGTATTGTGTATAAGTACTATTATAGTAATTAATAATAATCTATGCCAGTATATAAAAAAATATATGTAAGGATAGTCACTAAAAAATCGAAATTCAAAAAGTGGGTTGCCACAGTGAAAAGGTTGAGAAACGCTGAACTAATCTTATGAGCTTAGTAATTTTAATTCATACCGCTTCTAAATCTCCATCAAACAAATCTAAAGCAAGTGTATCCATGTGATTGTACTCTGATTCTTCATAATATTTAGCAACACTTCGATGAGCATATAAGCTTAAACTATGTTTTTTTACTGTTGGATCCGTATATATTAGTTGAGCGACAAGAAATTGAAACCATGTTGAACAGTGACTGCGAATCAAATTCATAGCATCTGGGTCTCCACAGATAATCTGAAAATTAATTTTAAAGAATGGTAAGTTAAAATAAATATTTAAAGATGTATAAGGTTGAACTTATTACCTTCATAACATCATTAAGATTCGAATCTGATAAGAAAACACCACATTCTAATTTGGCTTTTGCACTCGATTGCCAGCCTTTGAATCTTGATGTATATTCTGCTATTGGCAGACCACCATATACCTAAAAATTAGTAGTTAATTATTAATATAATCTCGATACAACTCCAAAGGCTCAAATCTGTTCAGTAATTAAATAAATAATTAAAATAATTAAATAATAATTTTTATTATTAAACTTCTATATTGTTATTATAATTTACCCATAGTTTCAAATTTTTATGAAATGCATGTGAAATTATTGTATATTATTTTATTAAAAATATACAATTATAGAAACAAACAAAATACTTATGTAATTATTATTAATAATAACATTATTCTAGCTATCTGCCAAAAAAATTTATTAAATTAATTATTTGTAATTTTTTTAATATTTGTTTTTTTTTTTTTTTTTTTTTTTTAACATTAATTAGATTAAATGCAATCTGTAATTAAAAGTTACAATAAGCATATAAGCATGAAAAAAAGAAATATCCCTGATTTTTGAGGAGCAATCCAGTAATAACATTCAGACATAATAATTTGATAGGCATTTTATGTAAAAATATTATGAGTTTATTCATTTATTTTGTATTAAGTGTATAAAAATCTGAATTTACGATCCAACTACTCATTTAATAATATTACTACCTTTAAAATTAAATATGATTATAATGTTAAAAATGTATAACTTACACTGTATGTAGGCATAGATTTTAATATTTTTATTGCATGAATAAATGGTTCAGTATCACTTTGAGAATGGTTAGATAATAACATTCTGGCCGTGTCAATGTTTCCTTGTAATACTAGTCCAATAACCGTATCCCAGTAAAAAGTAAACTTTTCCTCTATATGTTCATCAGTTAAATAAGCAATTTTATTTTCTGTAATAACTGATGCTTGGTTTTCAGCATTTTCATAATGAATCTTAATCCAATCTAGCAGATTATTCAAAATAGTATCGCCTTAAACAACAAAAATCACATTAATTATCCATACACAATATAAAATACCACAATAATAATAACAATATGTAGCTGGAAGTATTATACATATACAAATTAAAAAATATAAATACTATACATTATGAATTTAAAAATAATATGTAAAAATTCAGTAATATTACCAGGAACAGTCACTAGGTAAAGTACTTCACACAAATGCCATATGAGTTGAAGATTGTGAAGCAACATTTTGTATTGGTTATATGTCTCATTTGATTTGTCCAAATTGCTTCGGTCAATTGCTAAGATACAAGTTGATAAGATTGCCCTATATATATGTTGAAAGAATCACAAATTATGTTATGATTAAAGTATTAATAAATTAATTTTTAATTCAATGTTCTATAAATCCAAATAGTTAAATCATTAGTAAGTTACCAGTGACAATTTAATTACCTAGATTATGTATTTTTTCAACCAACTATTAACATTGATAGATGTAACATAAAGATTTAAATTAATAGTTTAACCTGATTAATAATTTAACTAATCAATTGTATAGAATATTCAATTTTGATGTTTATCCAGTAAATTAGTATACATTATTGGCGACAAAAATATGTAAACAATAAGCTTGAATTGACAATATATTTACAAATCAATAGAATTTTATTAAATCACCTGTATTTTCTACTGTAATATAAAGCATCAGTTGACTTGGTAGGGTCGTCCACATTGATTTGTAATTCTTGAAACACTCCACTAGACTCATTCACCAGCTGTCTTACTTTAGGATCGAATAGCATTGTTTTATGTTTCAAATGTATTATGTTTCTTTCAGTTTTGTCATCACCAGATGAATTTTGATTATCAGACGGCTTAGATATTTTAGTCGGAAATACACAAATATTACTCATTCCAAACCATGAACCTAACATCCTAACTTCATTATCAATAAATGATGGATCAGGAATGGACTGTAAAAAGACACATTTCAATTATTTTAAAAAAAGGATAAGAACCTATAAAACAAATGATACTAATTAAAAGCAAGTACTAATGTTCTACCAGTTGAGATTTTTTTATGACAAATAACAATAATATCCAGGATAATATATGAATATTGAGTAACTATCCACTTATAAAAGCCGTACTTACCAAAGTATCATAAACTATAGTTTTACTCATTTTTGTGTGTGCACAAATAAGTATCACTAAAAAGCAGCTAAAATAATTGACAGTTCGGCCGTTTAAAACTTAATAAATAAAAATAAATATTAAATACTAATAATTTTCAAAATATGAAATTCGTTATCGTCTTATTCTTCCGCGGACCGCGGTAGTCCGGCTCCATAAGTAATGTGGGCTTATCAGTGTTGGTCAAGGATTAGGCAATAAATTATCCCAGTGCATTTTCCCGCCAACAGTGTTTTATTTGAAATATCCTTTATTTATTTACCTATCTTATCCTAGCTAATAGTATTGTTCTGTGCTAATGGCAGCTATAGGTTGGAAACTGTAAATTTTTGTTATCTGTAAAAAAAAAAAAAAAAACCGATTTCTTTTTAATATTATTTAATCCAAAATAATTAAGGTAATAATTTTATATACGAGTTATGTGTGTGTAAAATTTTAATGTTTATAAATACTCAAAATTCGCTTAAAAATTAAGATATTGTAAAGGACACAAAGGCAAAGAGAGAACTTAAATAATATTTTTGCTTTTAATTTTTATTAAAATTCAATTCACTTTAATATTTAAACCAACAACACAAAATTATTAGATCTGCTGAATGTATATTTTAGTACCTATGTTTACTACCGATACAATTAAACGTTTGGGAGTTTTCTTAAAGATTATAACAATATGGTAGTTACATTTTACTAAAATTTAATGATTATATTTTTTGAGTAAAAATTGAAAAAGTAAAGACTCTGTAAGTGTTTGTATACAATAAAATAAATTTAGTTGTGATCATACAAGATTAAAACATTATTATACTAGTTACCAAATTTTAATTTTTTTTTAGAATTTTATATTAAAATATTTAATTTAATAATTTATACTATTAAGATGTCCAAATTAAAAGATAAAAACATAATATAATTTAATGATTATTATTCATAAACATGTATGTGTTATAAAGTTACCTGAACTCAAAAAAAAAAAAAACATTTTATCAGAGAGAAAAATGTAATTAATTAATTACATAATTCAAAAGTTTAGAGTCCTAAAAACTTAGAGTCAATTGTCTTGAAAAATAAGGGAACAAGAGTTTAATTCTCACTTAAGAAAATTGTATTTTACTCTACATGCATATTTATAATTAGCAGTGATAACTGTAGACCATATAAATGAGAATTACTAAAAAAAAAAAAAAACAACTAACTAAAAAACCAAATGAGAATTGGATGAACTTAAACTAATTCATATTTAATATCTTGAACTTGAAGTAGCTAGTTTTTTAAAAGAACTTTACCTCCACTGAAAATTGATTATCTACAACAATTTTATTATGACATTTTGTATCATATCATGATTATATGTAACAAAATAATTTTTAGTTTTAAATAATATATGTATATAAGAATAAATAATTAAAAATGTACAACATCAAAACATATCATAAAAATGTAAAATTACCAACTCATTTATATCAAAAATGGTAGTCACACAATTAATGAAAATAAAACAGTATTATTCAATTAACAAATGTCAGTGACACAATAAAACAAATAATGGAATGATTTAATTCAAATCATTCATCTTTTTTATCCCAGTCAGTAGATTTTGGTAGGACTATACTATCCACACTGAAAAATGAAACTGAGCTTGAATTTACTATGGCCCATAAAGTAGGTATATTGTCATGAGGATTTGAAATATTGATGTTGTATATATTTGGAAAGCATTCTAAATCGTCTCTAAAATAAAATTTTAAAAAACATGACTATTAATAAACTATACTGTTGGAAGCATAAAATGTTATTTTATAACAATGTACTATCATACTCAAAAACAATAACTCTGAAGTCTGGTGCCGGTCTTGATGTTTTTGGAACATCATTATCTGGATAGTAAACATCATAATGCACACGATACTTATTATTAGCATTTTTTATAGATTCTTCATGAAAATTTGACGGTTTTATTGCCAAAAGTTTCTGTCTAATATGAACTAAATTAAAGAACAAGACATATTTAAAAATACTTACAAAATAATAAAGTATAATACTTAAATATTAATAATTCTCTAAGAGTTAAGAGCAATGGCGTATTTAGGATTTATTTGAGGGGGGAGAGATATGACTGAAATAGTTTTTCTCCCTCCACTCTAAATACACGAAGATACTATAAATTTATTATAACTACAAACCTAATATATATTATATCTGAACATAGTAGGTACATGAACCTTATAATTATATCATATAGCATATTAAATAATGAATCATTTATTTATTTATCATTTACAAAACTAAAAAATGCTAAAAAAAAGTCAAGGAGGGAGAAATATTTTCCTCATATCCTCTCCGTAAATACACCACTGGTTAAGAGGGCAATAATCAATAATTAATAATGTCTGCATGTGTTGTATACTAGTAAAACATACAATCCAAAGGTAAATTTACTTTTTATAAAATGTAAAAATAGGAATATTATATGTTCTCTTGTTAAGTTGTTTTTATAATTTAAATTTAAAAACAAGTTATGAGTATATTTAAATTTAAATTATTAACATACTAATAAGTCTCTTTGAATATAAAATAAAAAAAAAAAACTGACAAGAGAGTACAGATAATATATTTACCTTCCCATTTGATTATAACTTAATTTTAACAGTAATATTAACAAGTTGACTGCCATACGGTTGTTGACGTCTGCTGATTACTAGGATACAACAGTATTTCTATGGACGCTGGAGATAACAGTTTGTTAAAATTTATATGATATGCGGGCTGTCATAATCACATTTATTTGTTAAAAAAAATAATATTGTTGGAATATTGTTCATGGCCTTAAAATTATGAAAAATATATTTGAGTGATTTTGTTAAGAAAAAATGTTTGCACATAATTATACGTTGTTTGTCATAAACCAATTATTTTATGTATATTTAATTATATGTCAATTATTTGTTTTATACACATGCTAATTTAAATTTATGGAATGACATCAAAAATAAAACGTGGACTTGTAGGAAAGATCACAAAGTGATTGCTAGCAGCCGCATTGCAGTCAATGTGTTTTACTATATTATGGTATAATTAAAAGTTGGAGACAACACAAGCACCATGCCTTCTTAACATTTCAACACTTACTGAAGCTATCAAGATAATATTACTGATTTAATTATTAAAAAGTATTACTTGGTACATTTACATGCATATCAAGCAGTTCTTCTTCAAAGATAGTATTGGGCAGTGTACATTTTGATGGCTTGGTGTCAGATTCATTTTTATCTTTTCCATTCAAATTTAAATTTTGTGTTGATGTTGCAAATTCTTCTTTAATACTTATATTTTCCTCATTCGATTTATCATCAAGAAATTTATTAGAAAAATTAATATTATTATTAGATGCACTTAAGTTACTTCCAGTACTTAAGCTGACTGGCAAATTAATTTCCATTTTATTATTTTTTGAATCTTCACACTCTTGAATGGTGATTACATTTGCTGTAGTACTCAATGCACTTAGGTCGTAATCATTTTTTGAAGTAGTTGCCGTATTTAGAGTAATGGGAGAATGGATATTTTTAGTTTCTGTAAGTTTTAATTTTTTAACTCTAGGCTCATAAATATTTTCATCATTTGATTTTATGGTTTGAGGAATGTTTTTTTCATATACAGGGTACATTCCAGTAGGTTGTGATTTGTAAACTATGTTTTCTTTTTCCACATTTTCTAAACTTTTTTGTTCTTCAAAATATCTATAATCAATAATTTTAATACTGCCAGAAATCACAGCCAGCTCATATGAGTAAACATCATAAACAGGCTGTAAGTTTTGTGGCAAATAGTGTGATGGTGGAGTATATACTAACTCAAAATAAGTTTTGAGTTTAGGAGAAGGAAGTTTTTTGAAAAACTTAGGAATATTTTCAGTTTGCGTAGACCTGTAATTTACATTACGTTTTTTTCTGTTAGTTGACATATCTGGGAGTTTGGGTACATCCTTGGAATCATGCGTATTGTTTATTAGCTTGTTGTTATGTTTAAATACCCGAAATCCTAATTTAACTAAATAACCATAGGTTCTACATTGTTCAAATGTACAACCAGTTCCTTCAGCCAATAATAAGGAAAATGCATTTTTAATTGACAGTTTTCTTTCATTCCATTTTAATACCAAACATTTCTGAAAATAAAATTGAAATTGAAAAATGTTACTTATAGAAACACAGTTCAATTATTGTTAATATTGAAATAATTATTACTTTAAAATAAAATTATGAATTATTACCTATACTCTATTCATGTTAAGAAGGAATCTCAGTGATTAATTTATGTGTATCGGTATAGCTTTATTAAAAGTCAAACATAAAGATAGTTGACTCAATAGAAGTGACAAACGAGTATTGTCTGGCAAAAATTTGTTACAGATGAGGTTTTATCTTAAAGTGATTAGAATATATTTAGAAAATATTTTTTACTATACATAAAATATCAAATAAAATAAATTGTTCATTCCCAATCTGAAGTATAAAACTAAATTAAGTTAAATTATAGTAAAAATTACTTAATAGAAATATAATATAGTGATAAATAGGTAAATTCAATTTGAATCTTGACTAATTTTATATTATTTTAAAAACAAACACCCTAAGTAGTATTTTAATTAAAATCTAGTTATTTGATAAACTTAAAACAAATAATTACCATTTCTAGCAAACATAAACATTCTTCTGGATATAAATACAATGACTTATTTAAAGAATGTGAAAAATTTTTGGTAAGATTTTTTGTAACTTTTGTTAATTTTGCTAATTTTAAATCTTCATCCCATTCAGCTTCAGCTAATGATGCACTATACAAAAAATAAAATATTAGCGCAATGGCATAGGTAGATAATTTATTTCATCAATATAATTGTATAGTAATAAATAATTATGATCACATAAAATAATTTATGAAGCTTATTAGTATTTATATTTAAATCTAATAGGATAAAGGACTTTAGTCCCCTTAATTTTGGATTAAACACAAATACTTGATATCTATAAATTTAAAAAATTATTCGTTATTAGCTAAATTTTTATGGAGGAAAAATATTATCATATAATTCTAAAATTGCAGTAAAATTTAAGAAATATTTTTGAATATTATACTAGAACGAGGATTTACAAGAAACAACATTTACATTGCTGATGAAACAGGTATATACTTATATTAAATGTTTAATTATTTTTAATTGTTTGATTATTTACACTCCCGCATTTCCAACAAGTGAGTATAATAAAAACTCTACTGTATTAAAATTTTGTTTAACGGTACCATTTTTCAATACGTGGTTGTTCTAATAATTGTTTTTTGACAGACAGTAGCTTATTGATATCATCCACATTACACTTTAAACTGGTTTCGCTGATTAGTTTGTGTTGTGGTCTATTGAAATAACAAAACAATAATGAATTAAAAATAATATTTTAACTTGACACAATAGTTGTTAAATAAATCTAGATCTTCAATGAAATATTTTTTTCTTTTTTTTTTTTTTAAAAAACATTAATAAATAAGAATATTAACAATTGGTAGAATTAAAAATAATTAGTAAATTAGGTGTAGGAATACAGTAAATAAAAATTGGATAATTTGATCGAATGTCTCCAATCATATGCAATTTTTCATATTTTAATTGGTTTCAGTAAAGTACATTTAAGTACTTTAAGTTTTAATTTACCTGTCAGCATTCATTGTAATGAAAATTGTAGTTAGTACCTCACAAGTATTGATAAAATTCCACAATTTGGTAGTTAAAAATTTTACTTTTTAGCTGTTTACTGTTTAGTGTTAAAATTTAAAAATAATAACAAAAGCATGTTGGCACGGTTATAGATAAGAGATTATCTGTCTTGTGATTAGTATTATCAATATTTATACAATTACAAACAGATATTATACATTATGTCCTTAGACCTATAATATAATTTAAACGTAGTATAGACATTAAAATATTATGATTGCTTATTTGTTTTTAAAATGACTGATTAGTTATCACTGCATTATCGATGACAATGCTTTAATTTTGTTATAGGTATTTTTATAATTTTAATTTTTAATAAATAGGTACCTACTTTTATACAATTTATATTATACTTCTGACTTCAGATATTTTAAATTTAGTTTTCAACAGTATTTATTATACTTGATAGTTAATACCTAAATAATTGTATGGCTGTACAATTTTCATTACTTTTTGTGTTTACAGTAAAATTACGAAGTACCTATTTTTAGAATCAAAAATTCATTCTTGAGCATTGTACATAGAAGTACTAAGTAGCATCTACAACTACTAACTAGGTTGGTGTTATGTTATTAATTATTATTTAAGCCTAAACTTTTCATTTTAGACGTACAAATCTTACATGTTACCGCAATCATTTAAAAAATTTAAATATTTTTTCTTAATACATATTATATTTTTTATATCGATCACAACTCATTAAATATTGAATACCCCAAGGCATAAGAGGGCGAATACATTAAACTAAGAACTAATAACTATTAAACTACATTATTATATTAATATAATAACTTTTATAATCTAATTTATTGATTGATAGTCTATAGATGGAAGGGTTCCGTACTTCCGTGTCTTTTGGTCATTCTAAATATTATCACAGGCTGAATATGTCTGTGAAATTAATATGTCTATCTATAATCTATAAAGTATAGCTTTCTTAATTTAGAAAGCATAAATTATAATAATGATAATATACAATGCGCGTTCCATGTATAAAGATCGCTGTTCACTGTTCACTGCTCAGTCTTCAATGATCGTGATGTATTACATAATAATTGAAATATTTCATATTTATTTTATAACGATAAATAAGTATTTGATAGTAGATACGTAATATCTATATTAATTTTATTAAAATTTTCAAAAAAATTATAGTAATGTCAGTTTTTAAACAAAGATAGCGTTGCGTTACCGTGATTGTTTTCGACATCCTACAAACCCCCAGTCGAAGGGTCAAGTCAACCTGTGCAGTATTGAGTATACAACTTCACCATTTGGGAGGTACAATTATAATATTCAATATTGTAGTTAGTGATAGCAATAGTTATTGCAATAATTCCTATAGAATAGTTAATAGTTATTGTTCTGTGCCTGCAGGCCATAGTCTACGGGTGATACTGTGACTACATAATATCAATTATCAACTATCATTTACTGATTTCTATTTAATTTATTATTTGGTATTTTAGTTTTTTATATATATTTTTATAATCATATTTTGTAGTGTTAGTCGATAATAGATAATAATATACAGTTCTCTGTTCTAATCTGTAGAATCCTTACGTTGTTAGTGCAAAGCATTGTTAATTAATGTCAAATTAACATGATTGATTCTTACTTTCAAAGAAATTAAAATTGCTTGTTTACATGATTTGTTTAGTCTCATGACGTTTTATCAGCGAATTAAATCATTAATTAACCATCAACGGAGTCTACTTATTGCTTGAACATTATGTAAGTAACTTTGAATTCTATACATTTTTAATTCAAGTTGGTTGATTCATGACACTAAATTATTATTTTTCTTTTGAAGTATGATGTAAATGTTAGTTCTGTTACAGCAGATGTTTGAATTTCTCATTATTTTTATTGCTAATTACTATTACTATGCTCACATATGATCGTAATTAAATAATTTATTAGTATACAATCATTAAATATTTGCTGCACATATATTTGAATATTATACCTGTTAGTGAGATGTTTTAATATTAAATCTTGCAAAAAGGTTAGATTAGGCTAACACATAAAATACCTATGTAATAATAATATTATTTACAGTTATCGTCATACCCAGTTTCCTTTCTAAGATGTTTAAATTCAGTATGTCTAGCAAACACACTACTAATAGCCAAACTGATAAGGACCTTAAGGAAGAAGGTAATCGCTTATTCAGTTACAAACAGTATGAAAAGGCTATTGAATGTTACAATAAAGCAATTGTAAGTAAAATTAATACTTATATTTTTGTATTTCTGATTAACTTTTATTGAATTAGTAATAATGATTTTTTCCTGTGCAGATTAAGAACCCTGTTATTCCCATATACTTTACAAATAGAGCTTTATGTTTCTTGAAATTAAAACAATGGGACAAAGCATGTACAGATTGTCGACGTGCTTTGGAAATGGACTTTAGTTTCATAAAAGGTTGTTTTTTTTTGGGTATTGCGCTTATTGAGTTGGGAAGTTATGATGAAGCAATAAAACAATTACAAAGAGGTAAGATAATTACACGTTAATAACTTCAAATCTTAATAGTAGATAGTTATTAGAGTTTTTATTAACATATTTATTGTTAGCACATAATTTAACAAAAGAAAAAAAAGTCAACTATGGTGATGATATAACAAGTCAACTTAGAAGAGCTCGCAGACTGAAATGGGAGAAACAAGAAGAAGTGAGACAGAATCAAGAAATAGAACTTTTGGTGAGTAAAATCAATTCAAAAATTCTTTATTTAATTTAACATTAATTAATTTAAACATTTATTAAATTAGTCATATTTGACGAAACTAATGGATGATGATGTGGCTCGTAGAGTTAGTGAAATTAAAAAACCATCAGATAATGAAACCGAAATAGAAGATTATGATAACGATGTTATGGAAATTAAAAACCAAAGTGTAAGTTAGACTTAGAAATAAATTGTGTTTGTTATATTGCATTTAATTTTTAGGAGAGATATGCTGCTGAACTACATACCATATTTTCCAAGAATGATGACAGACGAAAGGTAATATAATTTATTAAAATTATATTATATAATTTAATTTAATATTTCTTTATTAGAAACGCGAAGTACCAGACTATTTGTGTGGTAATATAAGTTATGATATTTTACGAGATCCTGTCATCACTCCAAGTGGCATAACTTATGACCGCAAAGATCTAGAAGAACACTTAATGGTAAATAAAAAATATTTTATTGAATATGTTCATTATATTAAAATATACAAAATAAATTAATATTTTTATCCATTTCACTAAATAGATAGTTATTTGTATACTTAATTAATATACATTAATTTTATTCATAAAAGTGGAAATTATAGAACACTGGGCATTTTTTCATAATTTGAATATCTTTACTGTGTAAATTTGGTAGAATACTATAACTACTTAATATCATTAACTAATAAAAATAATTTTTTTTACATAACATATTTAAAAAAACTAATTGGAACTTAGTTTATGGATGTTTTATAAATGCCACCCCCAATAAATTTTCCAAGATTCCAAACATAATATATCAAAACAATGCTAAATGAGGCTACATTAAATGAAGACTTACTGTACATTTATTTAAAAGTAGTATAATAGGAGCTTGTTAGTTTGAATATAGGTTAGATTAGAAACATATTTTCTCATAAATCCACACAATAATTATCATGATAGTATATCCATAATATATGAGTTTTTATTAAGTAGTATAATAATAAAATGTTAATATGAAAACTTAAAAGTTTATAACCTAGATAAAAGTAAATTAGTTTTAGTGATATCATAATATATTTTATTGATTATTAATATGTGGTTTTGGTACTCTGTAATGCAGATATATTATTAAAACAATATGGACAGATGTATCATGAAATACTTTCATGATGTTTTGACTATTTTTTATTTAAAAAATCTATTATTCACAAATATGAATAATTTTAATGAATTGAATGTATCATATTTTATTAAAAATCATTAAACAATTTAACTTTATGCGCTAGATTATTCCTCTATAATAAAATTATATTTAATTAACCAACTAATAAACTACAATATTTTTAATTTTATCATTACTAGAAAGTTGGACATTTTGACCCAGTTTCACGCCAGCATTTAACTGTTGATCAACTTATTCCAAATTTGGCTTTAAAAGAAGCAGTCGAAGCATTTGTAATGGAAAATGAATGGGTAAATTATTATTGCACCTTGTAAGCCAAGTATTTTAAAAGTTGTATTAAATAAAGTATACATTTGATCTTAATAACTTCTTAAACTTTCAAATAATTATCAATAGTAATTTCCTGTATTAGAATATGTGTACTATTTGTGGTTATTATTATTCTAGTTATATTTCAAATCATAAAAAAAATTTAAAAAGTTGATTATTCAACTTGTTTGTAGCCATCAACAAATAATTAATAAAATGGTGTTATATCTTAAAATAATTAATACACTTTAATTAAAATTATAATACTTTATTTTAATTTTTTGTGTGCTAAAATAAAACATATGTTAAGTTTTAAATTAAATTGTATAATATGGACAAGAATTATATAAGAACTTGATAAAAATGGTACTAATTCCACTTAAAGTATTTTTTTTTTCAAATAAAAATAAGTTTATAGTTTTTAAACTGATGTGGTTTTTATCATTATTTTAGTATCGTGATACAAAAAGTAATAGGTAATATAATGTATGATTCATATGTTTAAATTAATATTTTAAAATACCTATATATTTTATAGAATAGATATATAATTTTAAATTGTTTAATATTTTTAGACTACATCCGATTTATTATATTTTTACACTTTTTTTTTTATATAAGTCAGTATTTTAAAATTAAAATATATACTATTATTATATTTTTTGTTCAACTGTATAATACTCAATCTAAGTATTTATAAAATTACTTTATTTTATAATATAAAAATTGTAAGTTATCTGTATTCATTTACTATTAAGACATAATCCATTTAGATTTTAATGAATAATTAGGCTTGAAGTACCTATGTATCTACTTATCAATATCATAACTTGCACGAGCAAATTTTATGTTAAATTTTCTAAAGGTCTTACTTCTTACATTTTTTATTATATTCTCTAGTTCAAAATGTGATTTTTTTTTTTTATTATTTTAGTCTACTACATGTACAAATATTATTGGTTATGTTACTTCTGTCATGCATATTATATATAGATTTAATCAAGAGCATGGATTAAAAACTATTGTGATAATATGAAATGTATTGAAAACATTTTTTTATTTTTATTTTTTACTAACTAAACAGTTAATCTTGTCTGTATAATAAAACTTAACATTTATTATGTTATAAATACAAACAGCTTTAAACATGTTAAATTCTTAATTTTTATGTATAGTACTCAACATATTATGCAATGGAAAAATTAATTAAATAGGTACATAAGTGTCACCATACACATCTTCAGATTGATGTACCTAATAGTTAATGGTTGTGGCATGTTTGTGTTGGTCCAGTCAATAAATTTTGGTCTGTAAGAAATTCATTTTACATAACTGTTTTAACTATCACTAAGAAAATGTATTTAGTGTAATATAAACACTGATTTTGTAATAAATTTACTATTTGAAAACATTTAAGTTGATTAGCATTTTTAGGTAGGTATTATTCTTAGTTTATTAGTTAATGAGATTAAGATACTATGCGATTAATGTATTGATTTTGCAATTAAATATTAAAGCTAACATAAAATGGATTATGTAGAATACAAATTTAGTATTTACTATGTTGTACATTAGTGAAAACAGAAACAACACATGCAGGTAAGACATTATTTGATGATAAATTTTAAGGTATTGTCTATACCACAAACCTACTATTATTGTTCTATAGTATGTCATTATTGGCTTTAAGTTAATATAAATAATATATATTTTTGTGATAATTTATTAATAAATAAATCTGTATAAATAATAGTTTTGTACGATAATTTAAAAAAACTATAAAATAGCAATACAAATACATCGGTACCTAACCAAATATAGGTGTAGTTATATACTATAGATTGTATGCCAACAGACCGTTATTAATTTCATTGTCGTTCTGCAAATTCGTTTATTGTAATTTGTAGGTACCTAAGCAATGGATTTATTGTTGAATTCAAATTTAACATGTCCGTCAGTTCGTTACAATAGGTAGTAACCACTAATAAATTAAATGTCGAAGTACGTGTAATAGGAGCAATTTCTACTTCCCAATTTATTTACAAAAAATTTTTTTTTCATTTCAACAAATATGATTCCAAGAACTAGTCAAGTTCGAATGCGTTTGTTTTCGACATGATATATTTTAAAGAATGACGGGTTTAAAACAATTCGATAAAAATAAAAATAAAAATACAGTACCGACAATACTACGCGCGCCTCAAGCCGGATAATTTTTTGCAAACGAATGACGTTAGACTATAACGTTTCGTGCGCGCCCTTCGGTTTCGCACGTAGCTCACCCCATCTATCGGCAATTTCATCATGATCGTTATTTTCAGAACCATTGATACCCACTCTCGCGTGTAACGTTCTAACAATATTCTACTGTATATAAACGGTATTTGGATAATCATCCGCTGTACTTGCTTCGGCAGTACATATACTAAAATTGGAACGATACAGAGAAGATTAGCATGGCCCCTGCGCAAGGATGACACGCAAAATCGTGAAGCGTTCCACATTTTTTTGCCGGATGTATCATTGAGTTATAAATTATATTAATTCGTAACATATTTAAATAAATGTTTTTTTTCGAATGTTTATTAATGTTTATGTTTTTTTTTTTTTTTTATTTAATGTTTTATTTATATTTTTCTATGTTATTGACAATTTCCAACATATAAACTAAGATAAGATTATACGAGGACAAGTTGTACGAAAATGACTGAGGATAAATAAAATCTTTGGCGATGAAAGCGTCAAGAACCGAAGAATGGAATAAGTATAATATTATTAGAGAACTGATTGGCGAGTTTAGATTAGAATTTTTTTTCTGCAGACTCGAAGACTGGGTCTCCCCTGAAGTCTTCAATAATGGTTGCTTACCCTTAGGCCGTATCAATTCCAATGGAATAATAATATTGTTGATCATCTGACTCCAGTTTCCGTTCTTCTCCTCTCTTCAGTGAGCGAAGGCCCTTCACCCTACTGCCTTAGCTCTTCGTACATACAAGATCGACATTAGCAGGGTTCGGATTTTATAGCATTTGCTACTTATTATAGGATAGAGATAAAAATAGCAGAGTGGGCTATAAATTTGTTTTATGCACCAGGGACTTTAAATATGAAATTTTATTTTGCTATTTTTTGCATATTTGAAGAATTTTAGAATTTTAGTGCTATTTTCAAGTTTTGGTGCTATTTTTTGCAAATTTATTTCTAATAACTCATTAGAAATATACGCTTTTCTCACCCTCCCCACATAATCGACATCTCAACTGCAACGGTTGTTCCAGGACATCGTGTCAAATATGTTTTCAACGCCCAGGTATAAACAAACTCAGTCTTCCACTATTTTTTTTTGTGGATGTACCTACTTATTTCGAATGAGAATAATAAAGATATTCATAATATTACATCATTACTCAATAGCAAAGTGGTAATTGAAAAACGATATTATAATATAAGAGCTGTGGCTTACCGTATTCTATAAATGCCCCGTCTCTCAGCCACACACAAAAATTATTGCTAGGTACCACATGCCGCTCGATGTATAAAATGTTTTTAGTATTAACTACAATGATCATTGAATCGACATTGTAGAATACTGTTATTAATTATCATCAATAATAAATGGTAATAATTTAAAAAATATTTTACCGTCATACGAATTCAATAATTCGATTCCATTATATTGCAGTGATTTGTGTCAGAAGGAGGTAGCATACAGATAAACACTCCGAGTTAGGAGAGGGCAATACATCAAGTATTATTTTGTATAAACTGCAGATTAATCTTTTTGAGCACGGCACTATTGAAAATATATTAATCATTAATAAAATATAGAATAGTGAATAGTAATTAAACAAATTACTCAGTTGTTGATAACACATAACTAATAATAGTTAGGGGGAATTGGGGGGCTTAAATTCTGAAAATAGCCCTTTCCCCCAAATGCGAACGAAGCCCTTCACGAGTCAGTACATGTCTACCTCTAGAAGGGTGGACATCTCCAAAAAAAAAATTGACCACCCTACGCCTATGGGTAGTTACATAATAGTATATTGTCGTTTCGTGCAGTTCTGTTCAGTATAATAGCTGCAACATTAGTAATTACTTTTAACTATTAACTGATAAGTATTAATTATATTTCAAAATTTTAGTTGTAATATTTTAGGGAGATGGTATTTTGCGCCAATTTTATTACTTGTAATTTAAGTATGTATGTAATTTGCGCCACATAAACAAATTAATTTTGGTATTTTGCGTCACGACAGCAAATGAAATGGAATATGTAATTTGCGCCACGCTTCCAACTTCAATTGCAGTTGGAATTTACCAGCAGATAAATTTACTGATATCGCATAGGATATACAATAGTACGTACCGACGCGTGTCCAATATTATTTTTATATTGATTTTTATATATTTTATTACTAAACGAAAATTTACTTATTTAATATACATGGAGTTTGTTTAACTTACAAACATTTATTTATAATTTTAATATTAGTGGTGCAAATTATAATTTTAATAAGGTGAACAATGGTACAAATTACAATTTTAGTAGGTGCACGATGGTACAGATTACATAATGCATTTCTATTTAGTTTTATTTGGCCAAAAATTACAAACTTAAAAAGTGGTGCAAATTACTAAAATAAATTTTTAGATGTGGCGCAAATGACATACGCCCATATTTTAATATTACAAAAATATTTTTATTAATATTTTATAATATAGTTAATACTTAATAGTATAAAATTCATTTAATTTTTCCGCTGTCTAATCGGTAAATTATTTTACTCCAACAGACTTCGGTGGCTGACACAGTAGACACGTCATAATAATTATTCCACCGAACCATTCAATAGGTAGCGTATTTTACGCTTGAACCGTTTAATATATTCTGGGCCTGAATCATTATGGCCAATAACAGTGTAATTTCAGATTTAATTAAAACTTATCTTATGTCAGTGGTTTCCAATTGTGGTAGAGGACAATTCTCCCTCCACCCCAGGGATGAATATAGTAATGATAAAATAACGAGAATTTTTGTTGTAAAAATAATTATGCTATTTTATAATCAGTAAAATTTAAAACAATAGATTCATTTTCGGACGGTCATCCATTGTTGATAATAATTATATACGAGTATTTTATAATATGAGTTTATAGGCTTTTCCACATTTTTGCAAATAAAAAGTAAGCAAAGAAATCGGTTGGTTGTTGAAAATAATATGCATTGCGTATGTATTATTGAAAAAATCCTCATGGATTATGGACTTGGTGAGAAAAAAACAATCTTATGATTCTCATTGAATAAATTTTACCTATAATATTTATAAAATTGTATTAAAAAATATAAAAATATATTACTAGTTAATAACTATTAAGTTTTTTTTAATTTTATTTTTAAAATGATGAAAAAAAGAAATAAGTCATTCACTGTATGACGTATAGGTTGTTTTGTAAAATGTATTTATACGGCTTAATAAAAAAAAGGCCGTTTAAACTCTAATTTAAGGGATAGGGGGCGTGAGATTTTGAAAATTACATGGGGAGCGTAAAATAAAAAAAGGTTAGGAACCACCGTATTATGTCATGGATAACTATAACTCTTGATCCACTTTAAAACTTTGATTGACCCACAATGAAAATAATTCCTATATAGAATTGGTTATCCCTGCTACTGGTTCTATATATATATATATACTGTATAGTGAACAGATTACTGGTGTAGCCAGGATTTCGTTTTATTTTATTGTGGAGGAGAAGCTGAAAAATTATAATATAGGAATTAGGTAACTTATAAGTTTGGTATAATGATGCCATACATATATAGTTTTAGATTTTTATAGCAACCATATACCTATTTATTGTTTATAATATATTATCCTAGATACTTTCATACAAAATAAAAAGTGTTCTTAAGAATTAAAAATTTTGCCTACAATTTTAGGGAAACCCTCACAGCTCCCATGACTTAACCACTGTGCAATGTGTATAGGTAAACTTTAAATAGATAGAAGTATTTGAGGATGTTATTTAAAATTGTTATAGACTATGTAAAATTATTATTTAGATGGTATAATGTGTTTTTCCTCGTTCAATGTTCATACCTATATAACCTACAGGAAATATTACGCAACGAATAATATTATGCATCATATACATATTATTCAAGCATATATATATATACAATGAATATTATAAAATTAGGTTATCGAAGTATTGTTATGTATTATACCTATGTCCGGGTATAAGCTTAATATATAATACGACGTTGCACAACTAAAAAATCTGAAATAAAACAATATTCTCTTAAAGAATGTATTATTTACGAACATTTTTTTAAATATAATTGAATATATATTTTTTTTTATCGTTAGTCGTTAACAACACGTTATATGCATGCACTTATATAATATTTTATACATAAACAATTTTTAAATGATTTTCAATCGATATAAACGAAAATAGGTTTTTTATACCTACATAATAAAATATAACAATAATTGCATTAAACAGATGTCCTCGTTATTGTGGCCTTTGGGTATACCATAGATATAATAATATAATATTATTTAATATGATTTAGTACTAATACGCATCATTACACTATTATATTATACACAATACACACATAAATAATTATGATATCAAGTAAATAAGTCGGCAGTTTTATTTATAGAGTGAGATATTTAATGCGATATTCTATAATTGAATGTTGTATAAACACTGAACATTAGGTACCTTTACTGTATAGTGTATAGGAATATATATATATATTAACTAGGTATTATTGTAAATATTTACACTGTATACCTACGTGGATCTTCTATAAGCTGGCATGTATCTATCGTATTATGTATATTTTATTTCATCACCAAAACGGCTGTGGTATAAGTACAACTATACGTTTATTACATTATAATAATATTATATAGTAGTCTATCTCTACGGATTTACGCCTTTACCACTAAATTTTCCAATATGGTATATATATATATATATATATATATATATATATAAGTACACCTAGGTATAAAAACATTATGAAAATCGATTAAACTAAAATAAATTGCTCTCTATTTCTAACCCACAATTATATTATTATATTATGTATATTGTATACGTGTCTTTGAGTTTTTATTATTTTATATTTCATGACGGGCAAATTGCAATTATATATCAATATATCAAGTACGCACTCTAATATACTACCCATACTCATAGGTGGCGTTTTTTAAACTTAACAGGGAGAGTAAAAATTAAATGTTTTAAAAATAAGAACGCAAATTTAAAAAAGGTGGTATCAATAAAATAAAATTGCATTGGATTAACCTTAGGACTCTTGCCACATCACACCCTGTTTTATAATATTCAAAGAGAAAAACAGTATTGTTTCGTCCCTCGAATACCAGGGAGGTAATTGTATCCCAGGTGCTTTCCCAGGTATTCAAATGTTGCTTAAGATCCTACCCTAATATATATATATATATAGTTAATTGTTAATATAATATATATGTGTGGGGGTTATTCGTCACAGCCAAATTCGTCTGAATACAACAATAATTTATAATAATATATGTATGTGGTATGTGTAATGTATTATGCAGATCGACTCGAAAATCTACTTAGTCAGGTTCACGGCGCTCAGCACCAGTTCCTGGTGATGCTGGTCGGCTGAGTCGGTGCTGGGCGTGGAAGACGTGTTGTTCAGCTCCTCGAACGATTTAACCATCATTTTGGTGGCCACATTCAACGAGTCCTCAAATGTCAAAGTTGACTTGAGGTTGGAAAGATTTTTATTCGAGCTCACCTCGTCTTTCGTGTACAAATGGTCGTCCTGTTCAATCAGATGTTCCATGCTGCTGTCCAAACTAGCTTCTGGAGTAGCCTTGGGCATCCTTTTCGTCTACAACAGTATAGTGAAATCAATTATTACGCATTATGCAATGTGTTACAAAGATGTTTTAAAAGTTGACACCGTTGCAATAATATAGTAATGTATTTTAGGGATATAATATATTACAAAAAAGATATTTTTCTCAAACCAAAACAATTATTCTCAAAAGGCATGATACGTACAATTAAATATTGACTTATGAGTTCAGACTTATTTGAATTATTCAATTTTTATGATAAGATGTTTTACACACAACCAACCGAATTTATTTATTGAATCACATTTTCTTATTACTATAAGAATCAAGGATTATCATAATTTTTAAAGAAAAAAAGGAAAAAAAAATGTTTGGGGAAATAGTATTGTACTCGAGACGAATGTATAATTGGAATGTAAAAATGGCACGTAAAATCGCGAAGTATTCTACATTTTTTTATCGGATATTCTTTGGTTCAAATATTATTAATTATCTTCCTATTGAATTAACATAATTTCAAAATAATATGATAGGTAAATGATAAATTATTGACTTTTGTTGCTTTAATAAATTATGCTAGGGGTATAATGGAGCTAGTGATGAATGGACAAATCTTCCACAAATAATAAAATCATCATTACATATAAAACATCAAATCGACCATGATTTTTTCCAATGACACAATTTTGTTTGTATTCTATGGTTTTTAACTAAATAATAGTTGGCACAATGGTACACAGTAAATAATTGTATGATATAATTTTACGACCCATCATTTCGAATTTCACTAATATCTATAAATAAAAAATTGAATTTTAAAATTGTGGTGATTAATTATTTTATTAATAAATTATAATTTTAAACCACAATGAATAATATTAAATTGCTAATAATATTAGCACAAAACAGTTCCAAATTCATAATTTGTTTATAACTTAAATGTTTTATTATACGATCTATAAAAATACAAAATAATTATTTACAAGTGTAACTTTGTGTAAGCGTTATTGTTGCTGTATGATATAGGCGTTGGATTGATTGTGAGTTAGGTGAATAGAACTTTAGATCTTTGGTGTGGGTTTAAGTACGTTATTTAAATTTAATCATGTTCATTTTATATTAATTATGGTCCAGAAAAAGTGTAATACCCCAACAGATTTTGAATTATCTATATACTAGTCAGTACCTATGTGAAGAGATATTATAGTATAAATCTGTGAAAGTATTCTATGTAGCTCGTTACAAATTTAAATATTTAACGTAAAATATGGAAATTTTACAATTTTATATCAACTCAATAGTTATACTAACGTGTACCTACCATTAAGAAAGAGCATACACTGATCAAATTAAATAACTATAATTTGTATATTATTTTTATCAAAGTATAATGTATACCTAATCTGTGATTTTAATCTTAAAAAAATAAGAAAAACAATATAATTTTTCGATAAAGGTAATTGTGATTACTAGTATTTTTATATTTGTTGCAAGATAATTGTTGACTAAAGTAGCTGTCGAAAAAAAAAGGTTGAGTTCCACTATACGGTATAATGACAAATCAATTGAACTTTTAAAGAACCGTTATCTGTATATATTAGACTAAATACTATGGTAATGGCACCGTTAAAAATTTGATGTACTGGATATTTTATGACTAGGGTATAACATTTATAAAATATTCTGTGTATATAATAACTCACTTTTAGTACACACTACACACCCAATTCTTTCCGTCATAAAATTGTTAGACTTATAGTCGTAAGGCATAAATAAATAATAAATTAAAATTTATATTGTATAAAATAATGATTTATTTTTATCTATAGAATATAATAGCTTATTAACGCATTTTAATATCGAAAAAACCGTCATTATATGCAGAACAAAATACGATGATTTCTTCCGGAACAAGGGAGCATCCGGGTACGAGAACCGCACCTTGTAGTCATATACTATGGGATATATCTTGAGAATTAAATATGCGCTTGTTAAAACCTATACATTATATTAAGAAAATAACCTTATCGCGTGAAATTAAAAACGGTGTAATTTTTATAATTTATTTGACTTGTGTTGACTTTGCATGAGGTCTACCACTAAATCTAGTGTGAGGTTCTGGCGGAGGATGACTAGAACTTGATTTATTTCTCTTAATATGTGATTAGTGCAACTATATTGAAGTAACAAAATATAATAAAAATTTTAAAACTTGTTAAGAATATAACATATGCGAGACCAGTTTTTGACAAGTGGATGAAAATAATTTTTTTATTCCAAGTTACTAACCCCTCTCCCCTGGAGTCTTGTAAAAACTGCTAAAACTGATGGCCTTAAAATTTTAATTTATTTATGAATATTTTTAATATTATCACACTACTGACCGCGTATAACCTAAAGAAGTAAGATTATATACATTAAATATAGGTATATTATAACTTAATTTTTTTTCTTGCTTCATCTTTACTATCAAAACTATATCTTCAAATTTCTCTTCACTATATATGCTATATTTTTCCATCTGTACTGGCTTCTTAGGCTACTGCATTCCATAACTCATTTAAGTTGTCTATCCATCTTCTTCGTGGTCTTCCTCTTTGTCTTCTCCTCGCTAACGTCCAAGTTATTATTTATTTTATTAAGCATCGCCATGCATTCCAGTTCATTACAATCTTATACCTTTAATAAATTGTACAATACCTTATTTTTTGTACACGTTTTCCAGCTGTGCATTCGTTCTTTATTTTCATTATTGTATTTCAGTATTAAATATTAAACAATGTATTTTTCTTAGCTTCTCTTCGTTAGCTTTGGATGTGGATCATGTGAAACATGCATCAGTTAGTACTGGTCTTATGTAGCTCACATAACTATTTTTTTAACATTGTTTTATTTCGTTTTTAATTTAAAAAGGTTCTCTATTGTAAAATAACATCAATTTGCTGAATTTATTTACTTTACATTAATTTCCTCGTGCATAATATTTTTCTTGTTTAGAATTACTCCAGGGTACTTAAATTCTTTCACTTGTTCAAATTCTTTATTTTTTACACTGGGATTGGAGATATCCTTTAATCTTTTTATTACTACCACATATTTATCTTCTTTGCACTTATTGCTAGATCCACATTTTTATTTGCCATCACTAATTTTTTCAGATTCATTTGAAATTCAGTTTAAGTAGTTCCAGTGATTATGATATCACTTGTGTATGCAAGTAGTAGTCCTGTGCTAGTGACCTGGTTTCCCTATTTGACATTTCTCGGGACATAATTTCCAAATACTATACGTTAAAAAGTATGGGTAACATGACATTCCCCTGTCGTATAACACTTTGATTCCATTTCCAAGATTTACTTTACTGTACAATGCACTGTTGCATAGTTTCATAATTTTGATAATTTTCATAGAGATGATAAATGTTCACCTCCCACAGTCTTTCCCTGTCTACACTATTATAAGCCTACTTATAACCCACCAACATAATATGTACATCCTTTGTGTATTCATAATTCATAGTGCTTTTCCGTTTATTGTCTGACTACAAAAAAATGGTCTGTAGTTGATTTTTTTCTAAAGCCACTTTGGAATTATCTTACGATTTATTTAGCGTATGTATCTAATATTTCTAATACTATTAATAATATAATTTTGTATCCTGTATTCAATAAAGTTAATAATTTAAGGCATATTATAATAATATATAATAATAATAAGTATTGTCATAATATAAAAGTATAATCGAACAAAAACCCACTATTTCTAAATATGCCGTCTAAGTATTGATGGATATTACCTATTAATCATTATTTTTGTTGTATGCGGTAGATAAAATAAGATTATACATGATATAATGCAAATTAGTAAATTGAAATAAATAACAATATTTTGGCCCTATCGAACAATTAAAAAACTTAAGTTAGATGAGTTTTATTTCGAAATATATGTTTAATCAATAATTCTTTACTGGACATGTTATTTTTAGATTTTTAAGATTTATGTTGACGAAACGTAATGGATTGTAAATAGTTACATATTGTAACTATAATAATAATAATAATCGAATGGTCTAATCGATTACGGTTAGAATTTCAAACCATCGCCGTGAGACTTGCATATATTATTGTACTTTAATAATTACGCGTTGTAGACTTCATGTATTATTTCATTCATCTCGTATAGCAATGATGTTCCTACATATGTAACAGTCAGTTTTTTGATACGTTTTACGACGCAAATGTTAATTTATTAACGACAAACATTGAAACACACTATACATAGACATACAAGGTTGATCTAAAGGTTAAAATTAATTTTGAGTGACAAGTTTATAATATGTAGACTGCGATTTTTATTCCGACCAGACATATTTTTGTTTTGTTTTGAAAAAAATAATTTCACTGGATACTGAACAGCTTATATTTATTGTGTATAAATAAATTTTTGTTTTAAAAATAGTTTAAGTACCTACCTACTTGTACGCCAATACGAGGATCGATCGTATTATGGTTTCGGTTGAACGAACAATACAAATAATAATGAACGTTTCTCTTTTGTATACATGTTTTTAAGTATAAAAATATAAAAAAAAATGGTGCTGTTCTTCCCACGTCTAATATAAACTTCCGCACTAAGTAAATTTCTTATTGACATTTTAGATTTTATAAAAGTCTAACACGGGCGAGGAAGTTCCAGTTAATTAGTTTTTACATGTTTCCTTCAAATAAATGTATTGAAGTAAATATAAATTTGAAAAAACACAATTAATACAGTTTCTTTTTTATATTATGTTATAGGTATATAAACAGTAACAACGTGGCGTATAGTGAAACATCTTAATTGAGGTGGGGAGGTTTTAAATTTATTTATAGGTTATATATATACAATAATGATATGTATAGGACTAAAGGACTCAGAGCCGGATAGCCAAGGTATCGCCCAAACTGAGTTTTATGATTTTTAATATTTGATTACAGCTACTGTACGGTTTAATAATTTCGTTCAATTATATATATTCTATGTGAATATTTGTTCCAATTAATCGCGATCATAAAAAAATTAAATAACGACTAAACACTCATAACTGGTCCATAATTTGAGCGGCTCACCGAAAGTTTCTCGATAGCTCGCCGAACAAATCAAAGTCTGATAGGATTGGAATTTTAACGTATTGTTTATATTTATATAACATATATATATATATATATATATATGTTAATGTTCGTTTTGTTATATAAATCCGATTTCTGTATCTGTGACTTTAATTTGAAATTATTATTTCCTCAACGCTTCCCCAGATACATTTTAAAGGATTAAAAAAAAAACCGCACTGTATGACATAAAATAGTTTATTTTTTCGGGGTGGCCGGAGAGCGTGGAGCTAAAATCCAAACGTGATATCGTTGGGCTTGGCAACGCACCCACGTACAACTTCGTACCCTCTCACCACTACGTCATGTATCACCATCTAATCCGTATGCTAGACATACCTACGTAATAGCGCGCGTACAAAACATAGTGCATATTAGAAGATAAAAAAATGAAAACGAAACGGGAGACTTACTTGTTGATAGACGATATGCGGTTGCTGATCGGCGGCCATGGACACGCGTTTCAGCGCCGGTTTCAGAACAGTCATCGGTACGGTTTCGACCGCGACACCGGTGAGCGGTTCGGCGGCGGCAACGGTGGCGTTGGCGTTACCGCCCATCGGATGATTTCGAAACGGCATGTACTTGTAGAACTCGGCCATCTTGTCGGAAGCACCGCCACCGCCCTTGTGACGGCGGCGCTTGAAGCAGAACGTCGGCGGACAGAAGCACAACATGATGCGTACAACGCAACAGCACACGCCGATGGCGATCATGCCGGGCCCGATGAACCTGAGCTGGACTGTCTTGAAACCCTTCTCACCGGTGCCCACGAACGCTATGATCAGGCCCAGCGCCACCGAGCAAAGTCCCACGTACAGCAGCGTGTTGGCCGCCGCGCCCTGCTGCAGCTCGTACAGCCGCCGGTCGGCGCCGTCACCTCCACCGAACGACAGGGCATCGTGGATCTGTTTGGAGGCATGCGGAACACAAAACAAACGGGTCACACGATTGTTTGAATATTTTTATTTACTCGTTAATATTGCGTTTAGTCCCGGACGTGAGCGATTTTGGTACGATACATTGTGATATTGACGTCTGGAGGGTTAAAATATAATGCAGTGGCGGATCCGGGGTTGATTTTTTTTTTTTTTTTTTGATGGGGAAAGGCTTCTAGAGAAAAATACGTAACCAGTCTGCCGAGTAAAAAAAAAACTAAATAAACCTAATTAAAAAAGTAAACACGTGACATTTTTTTCAAGCATCTCGGGTATAAATTCCACTACAAGAACATTTTGGTACCATATTTCACTTATGTGAATAATTCCTCTTAAAATATATTGTGAATATTACACTTATGTTAATTGCTCTAAAAGAGTTAGTAGATATGATTTAAATTGCATTCATGCCTATTTATTCATATTTTATATTTTAAAAGATTCATAATATACTCGAACACTGCAGTTATTTAATCGTAAATAAATAATAATTATCAAATGATTACACAAAAAAAAAAAAATAATAATAAATAAATACTTTTCATTATATAAAAATAGTTTTACATTATAACAATAATAAAAATAATTTTAATTAAATTATAATGATGGTAAAAAAGATTTTTTTTAAATATAAAATACGAATAAAAAAATATTAGTGTAATTAAAAATACAAATATTTTTGGAGGATAACTAGAATCGTTTCTAATTAATGCCCTCTGGGTAATGCTAAATAGTTTTAATTTTTTTAAGATAGTAAAATGTTTTTAGAAGAATCATTATAAGTGTTAATTTTTTAGGGATATTTTTACCTGTGCCCGTACTACATAGTACACTTACTACTTACTATATAGTATATACGACACGTTATTCTGTTTAGCATTATATAATATTATAATTAATATTGACGCCCGTAGGTCATAGAATATGGTCTGTGGTGTGATAGGGAGCCCCTATCCCCCTAGATCCGCCACTGGTAAAGGTTTCAAGAAATAATTTCGAAACTGTTTGCTGTTCCTTTATATCACATTTGCCACACGATAACACGAAACCATAATAAACTGATAATATTATTTTGTTTATTTTGTGTATATTTGGAAATAAATATTTAATTGACTTAATGTTTATAAATGATAATATGTCATGTTTATGTATATTATAGATACTATATAATAAGGAATAAAGATACTCTTTTTATTCCATTCGCACAATTAAAATACTGTTTTTCTAAGTAAATAAAATACAAATTTATAAAATAATTTTCAATCGCCCACAATAATCAAAGTTTGTGGTAAGAAAAAGTTCACAAAAATATATTTAAGTTCTTTTGGTCATGAGTTTTTCTTGAAATATTAATTATTATAAGTAAATGACTGTTAAACCCTTAAATAGTTTTATGGAAACACTCGAATCTTGATCCAAAACTTTCAATAGAACACTATTAGGTACATGTTTTTCCTACAAATATGTTCAAAAGTTTTTTAATTAACAAGAATGTACTTATATTGATTTATAAGGTACACCGTGTAATAAATTATACATAATATGTTCACAAAAGTCGGGTTGCAGAAGATATTAACGGTAATTGTACTTCTGTTATTAATTTTATTGATATAAAATTTAAGGATGATTTTGAACGGAGTTTAATTTATTGCACTTTTTATAGGAAATTTTTAAAATGTAGACTTTTATATTTTATGTAAAAATAAAATGCGATCACATAATTGTTTTGAAAATTATTTTTTTTTTTTAGTTGATACTTAATGGTTATTTTATTATATAATATCATTAAACTATCATTTAAAGTCTCTACGGTCATACTTTTAAAAAATAACTTAAGGTATTGATTTTGTATAAAACGCACAGTTTTAATATAATATATTGGCTTTTTAGTTTTTTCTAACGTTCAGAATATTGTGCAGTAAATTAAAAAAAAATATATTTGTTTAAAAAGGTATTGTGATTTTATGTACAAAAAAAAATGTAGGCTAATATGGTAATAAAAGTTTTTGCGGTTTTGCAGAATAAATCCCAAAAATATTTTGTTGAATCAAATATGAACTCTTTTTAAGATAAATTAAATAGACGGATGACCAAAACTTTTGAATTGGAAAAGTATATAATCGGAGATAAATTGGTAAACGTACGAGGACGACTACTTGAGATAGCGCATTTATATACAATATACATATTATATATTGTGCAATATCATAATATGTGTAGATACGAAGTCTTATGTGTCTTAAGGGAATACCTTCAGGATTTAATTCATTTGAAGAGTAAACACGTATGTAAATAATTTATAATGTACAACTGTAAGTAGTATAAATAGTATGCTACCATGAAATTTTATACGAAATCGCAACTATTTTTTTTTTAAATTTCTTTTATTACTTTTGATACAGTGTATTTATATACCAAACCTATATGTATAATAAATACACATACACGTATGCACTTGCAGGAAAATTATATGATATTACGTTAAAAAAAATACAAAGTGAAGTACATATTTAACCATTAGGTATATAGTTGTATATTATTATGGTTATACGTTTGACACTAAGCGCCCGGAATAACGCTCATATATAATATATATAAGTTATATTTGGCTGTATAATGTGTCAGATCAAACTTGTATTTTAATATATTCTCACATCACGCGTAATCACTATCTGAGAAGCTATTTTGGGAATTGTAGGGTATACTTTGGTAACCCTATTTTTTATTTGTATCTTATTTGCTTGCCATAGAATGTATTAACGCATCGATAGCCGATGCGTATAAGAGTTAAAATATATTATAAAATTCATAATATGTACATAGTGTAATGTACATAGGCAATGCATATTTTTTATTAATTATAAATTTATATTATTGGTATGAATCATATTATTTGTGTGATTAAGAAAAATTGACATTTTTAAATTATGCACTTCTATTAAAAACACTGAAATGGAGCCATTGCGGATCAGTCTTACTTTTTCTCTTAGACCCTACCAATGTGAATATACGTGAATTACATGTAAACTGTATTCAATTGGTTATTATTTTTTTCCTCTATCATCTGATATTAACCTGAAATGGTATGTTGGAGTTAAATGCAATTTATATTACACGTAGAATAAAATGCATGACACAAGTGACTTTTAAAGTTGATTTTAAGAGTTTTATAAAACTATAAAATTCTAATTCCGTTAATAATCAACAATTGAAAAAAAAAGCAAAAACAGAATTTAATTTTAAGTAATTTTTGAATGAACGTATTACTTGATTTTTAAGCAATTAAAAATATAAAAATATAAGTTATCTACAGTTATCAACTTAAAAATACTTGTCTTAAACAGCTGAGTAGTAGATATTGTCATTCAGTGATGTATGGATAAACTATGAGTGTGATATGTATATTTTAGGTCACATAATGGGTTGAAAAAAAGGTGCAATATTGACAAAAGTATTTGTAAACAAGTGGAATGCGGTGCACAAGTTCTATTTTTCTACACTTATATACTATTTAATATATACAATTTACATATACACAATACACATACGTATATATTAAAATATAAATATAGTATAATAATGCATTACACAATTGAAATATTTAACAATGCCGTTTGAGTTGTTCGTATGGGTTTTTATTAAATATTTGATTGCATTCTAATGTCATGCATATGACGATTTAACGATTAGATAATTTTTAATGAAATTTTTTCACCAGAAATACTGCAATAACCCCAATAAATTAAAATTATATACTCAACTTTAGAAGAAGTTCATTGAATATTTAATTAAAATTGCATCTTTTTTTTTTTTTTTTTTTTTTTTTTTTATTAGCTTTTAGTATGTAACTATAATAGCTCAACAATTATTAAGATTGCATCTTTATAGTAAACATTTGTTTGTATAATACATAGAGATACCTATAAGTGTATATTATACTAATACGTAATAAATGTTATAATCTATTTTCCACGTATTTCACACACATATATATATATATACACTACATAGTACATACAGTACACACACGTACAACGATACGTTTTAATTTTGTAGTTTATAGTTAAAAGTAACAAAGTTAAAAATGTTAGGTTATGAAAATATATACGTTTTATAATATTATAAATCATAATTTATAATATTAAGTGTTTTCGTCTTACAGTTTATTTAGTCAAAGTTGTCTACAAACGTTCTAAAATTACATTATGTTATGAGTTATACAACCATTCCAAATTTTTAATTTGTTGATAATTTGTAAATACTACATAGGTTATAAGTATAATAAATAAAAGTGAAATGATTTTTTTCTAATAGACTTTTATATATATAAAGTAATGCGGTATTGCGCAAGTTAATGATTATTATTTAAGTTTTCAATAATTATTATTCTGATTATCTATCGTTGATTTGTAATTTATGAATACAAAAGGATGGGAAAAAAACACAAAAAGCTTTCCTAAGTAAGCAATTTATTTTAAAACTGATGCATATTTCATTAGGCAAAATGCATATAGATATAGACTATCATTATACTGTATTAATACAATATGGTATATATATAACATGATATACCATTAAACACTTAGGTATCTATAGAATCATATTAAAACAACAACAATATATTATTATTACGAAATCTTTAGTATGCCATTAGCCGACTTAACACATACTAACATAAATATTAAAGTATTTTTCTTTCCATAATTTGATACCTATGTTAATGATTGTTATCTTAAAGCTTAATAATTACCGTTACTAAAATAGGTGTATAAATGAGTCAATACTAAATGGTATATTAAAGATGTGAACTTTTATTCAACGAAATGGAGACATTTTAATTGTTGCCTTGTATAATTCAATAATATTATTTAATAAATACTACCTAATATTTGTTACCTTGAATAAGTATGTTAGATTTATTGGCTCTTCTGATAAAAAAAAAAGTAAATGTATTAATATTATACATATTTTTTATATTAACAATCAAATTTGGATAGAACAGAACATAAAATAAATCTAATTGTATTTAACATATTTTTTTAAATGTTATTTTCGAGAATAGAAATACGTATTATACTCTTTGGATAATAAATAAATGATTAATAATATCTATGTGATTCAATACAATCACCCCCGACGAAAAGGTTATGAAAATATAGTATACTATAAAATTGATTTCATCATAAATATTCATAATAATAATTGCGTCATAATATAGCATATAATAGTTTATACATTATGATATGGTTTGGTATCATAACATAAATAAATAAATATGATATAATAATTAGATAAAATTGATTATAAATTTTTATGTAAATCATGTATCGTGAAACACAATAAAATGATAAAACAAAACAACAGAATGGTAACAACTGCTATACGCAAACCCACGATTTAGTGACGTTATTAGTCATGTTTTTATATGTCTTGAGTCGTAGGTTTAAAAAATATTCATATATGTGTGTACACAAATACACAACCTTCACAATCGATACCAAACTTGAAATGGGGAATTTATTTATTTTATAATTTATTCGTGACATCAAAGGAGTTTAGTAAAACGAAACGAAAAATACAGAATAAAATAAATGGAAATTCAATAGTTGTCGAGCGCGAAAAAAAACTTAAAACCATAATATTATTGTGGATATAACAATAGTAACGACGCAAAAGCGCGCGGTGTGTAGGTTTTTGTATATACAACAACATTTTTGTTTGTTTTCGCACTCGGATATAATGGCCATTATAATATATAACATTATATTATTGTTCTTGTACCGAACAGATATTGTTATAAAGGCTACGAAAATAGTAGTTGGGCGTTTATTTTACGATTCCGTTTTCTTTTATGGGAAGGTATATGATTTGTTACGTGCCAATATTAATAATTGCTGGAATGGTCGAGACTTTGCTTTGAAGTTGAAATTATTAACAAATAATTCTCTTATACTTTTTTATTAATTACTTAAAAATATTCCAAGTGTTTTACGCAATTAAAACTTACGTGAAAGATGTTTACACAAACTCTGTATACATTTGTTTCTGAAAAAATCCTTGTTGTAGGCTCTATTTATAGGTTCGATTAAAGGAGATAAATTATGTACATATTTTCTTATAGTTGTGACAAATTGCATAACAATATACAACTCTGGAAATCAATGCATTTTTTACTAACGCTCCGGATGTCACCATAAATTGACTTTGCAATTTAAATAATAAGTTATATATATATTATAGGATAATATACCTATGTGTTTATAAGTGTCATGTTAATGAAATTTTTCATAGAATTATTATACTTTAGTTTGGATTATATTTGTGTAGGTAATGTGTTGGCATACTGTTTGGTTTTTTATGCTCTGCAAAATTGAGATTATATAATCATAAATTGTAACATATAGAATTCGTTGTAATTATATATACCTATAATATTATTAATCGTAAACGTGTGTATTAAATGAGTTCAAAACCCTTCCTTGAAATTCATAGCCTTTAAACTAAATCTCCTTTTGGAACCCCATAACTACTGTCCAATTCACATACAACTCAAGTTTCTCGCTTTGGCAACAAGACGTGAAGCAGTGGATATATCGTTCGTTTACAACCCTATCAAAAGCCACATTAATTCTCCGTATCTATTATATCACATTCAGTTTAAAGTTTCTCTTCATCATTACACATTTCCCATAATTTCTACATTTCATCTCATTACTATTTTTTCAAAATACGCACTCCTATCTAGAGTTTTGTTCCGATATATGCAATAACTATCCTGGCTTTGATTTTTTTTCTCAGTCCCATCAAATATGATAATTATAAGCTTTGATTAAAGTTCTGACACTCAATATTTTATTTTATAGCCTATATAATTAATTTGTTTGTTATAATTAATAACCTTTTTGTTGTTTTCTTTTTCATTTATACTAGGTACATAACTCATCTAAACATAAGTATTTATTTCATTTAACCTATAGCTATATTCAATTATTATTTATTTACCTATTCAATTGTTATTCCTCCCGTTTAATTCAAATTAATAAATATTATTATCAATATTGTAGCGGGTGTTGTACTACGCTAAATTACGCGTACATAACAACGTCGACATTATTATTATTATTAGCAGCTTCTAACGCGTATTATTGACTAAAGACAGCGTTTTGCATTGAAGTTATTACGATTCCGCATTGTATTTAATATAAAATGTAAATACTTGTATAGGTTTTCTGTATCTACACGTGGCGTCATAATTATACATGTGACTATAATAGCGTGACTCGGTGGTGTAATGTCACTTTTAATGAAATTTACCAACGCATTATAGAGGTGGGTTTTAGAAAGGAGCTATCGATTTTTAGGCTGCAGTGATCGTGTACACGACATAAACTCATAAACATCGCTATACGTTCACAATACACATTTTTATAATATAATAAATAAAATATTTACGATGCAAATATTCAAAGCTTAAAGTAGTACAAAATGGCAAAGAGTACTATATGATCTTTATATTATTTTTAATGTTCTATGCGTGTAAACTTAAATAATTCTTATTACTTAAAAGTTGTAATTTTATTATATTTTTGCAATCGATATGACGTAAAATTGTCATTTTGTTCATTAGCACTTATTATCACTAAATTAGAACTCCATGTTATTGAATTTAATATGTAAATTTCTCAATCTAATCTAAAATAGTGCCCATTTATCCATAATTTAAACTGTACCTAATTATGATACAATAAAATATTTAATCATAAGTAAAAGTTTATGTTTTTGAAATAAAACAATGTATAATATAATTATGCAATATTTACCTAATAAAAATATTAATTAAATTTTCTTTAAAACGTATATGGTTTATACATTCATTTTATTTATTTACACATAATAAAATAAAATGAAACATATATCTACATATTTATTATTTTAATAAACATAATAAAAAGTATATAATTAAACACGTGGAATAATTAAATAATAAAATAAATTTAAATATATGCTGTGTATGATACCACTTTTATCAAACTATAAAATATTCAATGAAATAATTTTATAAACTAATAACGAAATTATTATGATTGAACATAAAAGCTTGAGCATACTAACACATCTTTAAAAAAAAAAAAAAAATGTTAAAGGTGACATTTTTTTTTTAATTATGGCCTTTTGGTTAATTTTATAGGAATACTGAGTAAAATGCTCCAAATCATAAATTTAATTTTTAATCTTTATGTCATTATAAAATAGTTATGTATTTAATTCACACAGCTATCATATCCATTTAGTTATTAAATTATTAATATAGATACTATTTTTATTTATAAAAATTATTTATATACTATCTCTATTTTGGTAATTTATTATTTGTTTTACAAGTTTAATATTGTATAAGAATATCGATTGTGCTTAATCTTTCGAAAAATAATTTTAAATATTGTTACAAATGTGTTAAATTGATAACACATGGAAAGATTTAAATCATACAATTTTTTGTTACGCATGATCAAGAATTATTTTACGGTTGTTGAATGACAGGCGATGTACAAAAGCTATTTCAGAGTCAACTTTTTATGTGTAATGATTTACTTAGGTTCAGATACTTCGTTTATATGCCGAATTTTGATTTTTTTCGTTCATTATTGTTCTTATGTTTGTTAAAACCATCCGGAGAGTACAATTTTATCTTGCATCATCTGTGAGGTGTAAAGTGTAATTCGTTTTTTTACAAGCCGAAGGAAATGGCACAACTCAAATTTATCGTCTGATATATGTGCTGTTTACTGCAATACAGTGATGAGAGATAGTTTGGTACTTGATTGGTGATGACAATTTAAAAACGGACGCACAGGTGTGCATAATGAAGGGACCCAAAGGGACAAATCAATCATGACCGAAGACGTGGTTCACAAAGTCGACCAATTTGTTCGATAAAACAAGCGTTTTATAATTTTAGTTTTTTCAAAAAGATTTTCTGAAATTTCTCGTAGTACTCTACACAGAATCGTATTTGAAATTTCGGGCTATCACAAATCTGTACCTGTTAGGTTTCAAAACATCTCATAGACTAAGCGGCGAGAGATAAAATTGTACTCTTCATGTTATTTCGGCAAATATAAAAATAATACAAAACAAAAACGGTTAAAATTCGGCATGTTATACATGAGACAATAATGTACTGCGAATAATGTGGCATTTAGCAACATATGAAAAAAATATCCGTATGTAGTAAGCTGTAATATATTGGATATTGATTTTGAAATAGCCCTCGTAAATTATTTCCAACATAAGTTTCATAATTTTTATTAATATTAATGTATATCATTATTCATTTCACTTCTGAACAGCAAACTTACCCCGGAAGGTATATGGAGAGTAATATATATGATCATGATAACTCACTTATGAACCCTACGAATCCTACCTAGAAGAATGGAAGATTTTAATGGACCAAGTTTTCAACGGATTGCTGTGAAATCGGGGTAACGGATTATACGGGCGGACAAAAAAAAGTAACAGAATATTTTTGTCGAACGGGACACGTCCTTTTTAGACTTTAATTTATTTATTTATTTATTTATTTTTGTTTAGCGAAAAAGCGATTTTATTTATTTATTTTACTAGTCACGTGTCAGTGTGTGTACTGTATACACGTCAAGTGTTGTATATAGATAATAATAAATAACGAGTATTACAACAGACACTTGCCTTATTTTTTTTCGTCCATTTCAAATGTGCCTCAGCCGGCAGGTGTATGAGTATGGAATCACCTGGTGCCGTGCCATCGCTGTCTGGAGACGGACCGACTGGTCCAGGCCAAGCTACCGAAGCTGCTGTCTTATTCTGAAATGTTTATAATACACCCAATGACAATAATGTCGTTATATATGTATTTTATAGTATATGCATTGACTTCGAAAACAATTCATCCGAATTTTAAACGGGAAAAATATTTAAATCGAATACAGACTCGTTTTTGACTTGTGTATATGTATATATATTTTTTTTTTTTTTTTTATATTATAGAATATTATTTAGGCAATTTTCATAAAACTATTTATCTTATCTACCCAAAATTCAATTTCGTTTTATAGTACTTTTAGTTTTAATATTTAAATTGAAATACTTTTTAGAATTTTATAATATATTTTCACTAAATAAGATGTTTTAAATTTTAAAGAATTACAAAACGTATAAAATTGTCTTTACAATAAATTTATGATATTCAAATATTAAACTATTAAAAAATAAAATATTTAAATAGTGCTAGAAAAAATCAAAGAAAACGTTTTGCTTTACATTCGTTTTTAGATGAACTTTTAATTGATTTAATTTTGATACAATTTATTTAATTTTTTTTAAATATTTAAATCAAACAAGTACTTTTTAAAAATAACTGCTAAAAATTTTTCTTAATTCTTTTAATTAGAGTAAATAAACATACTACTGTTAGGCAATAGTTATTTTGAATGACCGTTTTCTCAAACATAACAATAAGATTTTCTTAATTTTGAAGTGCTTGAAAAAAAGTTTTTTGTAAGGTTGACACGAAATGTCACGGGAGTTAAACTCAAATAAAATAAATCCAAATTCGTGTTTTTTAACAATATACGTTTTATGTGACATTCGTGATTTAAACAAAGGACTATGGTAATTTTGAGATAAGCATAATGTTGCTTCGGGTACTTCTTTATAAATTAGGTACCTTATTTTTACAACAACTACAAAAACACAGTGCAGTTTAAATATAACTCACAAAGTGAATTGGTGTCAGATTCAGTAATTTATTTCACACCGTGATTCTGACAAAATTAATGAAATTTAAAATGTTTCTCGCATTCACTATTCAATTAAACACATTACATCAATAATGATTTTTTTAATAATTTTTTACCATTATAATATGTTATATACTTGTTCAGTGGAGAGTAAATGGAAATAAAATATTAAATTTATTATTTTTTTTTTTTATAATTTACATATAAATATTTAATGTTTATTTTTTCAGAATTGCAGCAATTTAATTTAGTAGGTATATTTGATAATGTTATAATTAAATCTTAAAAAAAATATTATACCTTTTGAATACCTACTAAACAGTGATTTATCAAAAACAAACTGTAAAGAAAAAAATTTCCTTAGTCTATATTATAGAATAGAAAGTATAAATATTATATACGTATTTTGAAAGTATTTCTAAGAACTAATTGACTTATTAATAAATCATTTTAAGATAACATTAAAATGTTAAAAGTTTATAAAATATTATTTTAGTTTTAAATAATTAAGAAACTATTCATCCATCAATTTTAAATAGAAAAATAATGAAGTACAATAGCAATATGTATTATTTATTACAAATAATAAATTATGTTCTTTTATTTTCCAGAACAAACATAATAATATTATAAGAAATATGATGATTAAAATTAACTTACTTGTTGAATTCTTAAATTATGAGTTTTTTTAAATATTTACTTGATTATGAAGTTAAAATGAAAACTCATATATTGTATAGGTCTTATCCGTTCTACGCGTAGTGTCATCCAAAAACGTCTATTCGACTAGCGCTTTATTAAATTTATACAATATTTTATGATAACGTTGTAGTGCGGACGTGCGGTAGGCACACACAATTACAACTACTGTTGTGCGCTCACACCAATACATTTGAAACTTTTACAACGAAAATGACTCGAAATTAGCCACCTTCGCTTATTCAACAAAACGGATTGCAGACCGCATACCGAATTGCGTGCGTATTATTATTATTAGTATATAGTGCTTCGGCGTCATGTCTTAATCGAATTTAATTCCAGCGCTGAATGGATAGGAGAGGAGTAGTCCGACTCGGTAGACCGCACAAAGTGTATGTGTGTGGTGTGAGAGCAAGTTTAATAATAATGTTTGTCCCGGTTAATTTATCGTAAAAACCCTTAAAACGGTTCTAGCTTAGTAGTATTTTCGGTCTCTTTTCCAAAAAAATAACACACAAAGACATAAGTTCTACTATACACGGTTTTTCTTGTTTAATATGTTAGTTATAATAGTGTATATATATATATATATATTTATTTATATTGTGTGTGTGTGTTCTATGTAGTTATATGAAAGTGGTCGTTCGATTTGTGCCAGAGCGAGCGAAGAGAATTGTCAACATTTCGGAGCAATTGAATGTTTCGCTCTTCGAATTGGATTTCATATATTATAATATAATATGTTATATATAAAAAAAAAAAATAAAATGAGAAAATTATTAAATAAACAAACCAATTCCATCTTTCTAGATGATCGTGTAAATTAAGTGAGTGTGTACAGCGTTATCGCACGTCGCTTTCAGTTTTCCCGACCAGATATAATACGAATAGCCGTGACAGAAAAAAATTATTCCAAGAAACACGAACCTAGTGATAATTTTTTTAAACACATTTTCTGTCATATTTAAGACATTAATTTTCATATACGATTGTCTTTAAGCTGTTTTAAGTTTGTTTGCTTGTTGCTTTTTTTTTTTTTTTTTTGATATTAATGAATAATGATATTAAACTCACCGTACTTATTAATACACTATAAATAACATGCATGTACATAATGATTTATATAGTACCTTCATGACTATGTTTTATACATAATATTAATAGTTTAATATCTAAAAATCAACTTAAAATAATATTTAAAACGATTGTTATAATAATTGTCATTATTTAGAAAAGTAAAACCTAATAAAAAAATTAACATTATGGTAACAAGTTATTGTTCTTATTATCTTATTTAATTAATATTCGCATAAATTCGATTGTTTTTTTTTTTTCATTAACAAAAATTGGTAGTTAAATATATGGCATAGACGCATATTTAACTAAATGGTATGCAAAATATATCATACTATTTTCTATACATTTGCATGTAACAGTATAATACAGACTAAGATACAGATACAGAGCATGTTTGTGAATAAATTTATATTTATATAAATAACAAATATATCACAACACTGCACAAATAAAGTACAAATACATTTTTTAAATGTTTTAAAATAAATCTATGTTCTAATGTAGTAAATACTTAACCAATATTTTATATCAATACAATAATAATGTTTTTGTGTAAAATATTTTTTAACTTATAAATCTTTCAATTGGTATACCTACAATGGCTACAACACTCTAAATGTATATTTTTTCAGTGAATGGATTTAAATGCAAAAATTAATTTTTTCCTGAATGTTCGAAACCATTATTATTTAAGCACAAAATTCGTTACGTATGAACATCAAAAAATTTAATAATCGAATATTTATTCTTTATTTTATTTTTATATTATTGATTTTTTATCATTTTCATGCTTTGGTTAATTTTATACGGTTTTAAATGTTTTTCTTATGTTACAAGTTATGTATATAAATTAACATTCAAAACTTACCCACCCAATTAAACACCTACCGCTTCATCAATTAATGTAAAAAAATAAAACCGAAAAAAAAGACATAAATTTTATTAATGACCACTGCGTGTGTCATTGACCATTAAACTTAAAATTAATTTTTAATTTTCAATTAACAATCTTTACCTGAACAAAATATTTTAAATCTTTATACTATATTCAAAAAAAAAAAACATATTTTGTAGAAAAAAAATTGTTAGGATATTTTTTCTGGGCACGTTTAGAAAATTAAATTGATTTTTTTAGAAACTTTTAGTACTTTTTAGAGCGTTTAAGAAAATTGACTTGTTAATCAGTTCATCATATTCATTTTATTACAAATACTACAAGTATTTAAATTTGTTGTTGTTGTAGGCTTTAAGGAATGGACTAAACTACAGTAAGTATTAAAAATACATAAAACAGATTGAAAATTAAATGCTGGCGGCATAACTTTAAATTTGAGCCCGGGAGCGAAATAATAGCCCCTTCCCATTAAAAAAAAGTATTTGAAATATCCGGTATTATTATATTCGATTCATCTCATTTCTGAAATTATTTTTTACAATTTTTAAGTATTATCACAAACTGTATTAATTATATAGTTTCGAGGAAATCAACGAGTAATTAGTATACGTCATATAAAAGTATATTGTTTTTTGAATGAAACGGTCACAGAACTCACAAATTTTTCAAACGTGCACTCTCTTTTAATGCTATTTACAAAACACATATTATGAATTTCAAGTTTACAGAAAAAATTTTGAACTTCCAGTAATTATAAGTCTTACATGAAAACTGCGTTGGTATTATATTAGTATATTAAGTAATTTATTAAAATTATGGTTAAATCCAAGTTTGTTTTGAATTATCTATTAAAAAAAATTCAAAATATAATATAGGGCAACAATATTAAAAAAAAAAAAACGAATTTCGTACCTCCGCTTTTAGTGTCCGGTTGAGCATGTGAATATACCTTATAATTTCTTTTGATTGCACCACTGGGTTGATGCATGGCTGGGTAATCGGATAATTTGTCGTCGCGAAAAAAACGAACAATAGGGCCCCCATTCATCATTCCTATACGAATTTTTTTAAGTATCCAAAACATATTATTAAACACTTTTTTTTTGCAGCATTTAAAAAATGTAAATCAATACTACTATCAATACTAGTTTGTTTACTAAAAAACACTGAAGTATATTAGTAGTCAGTGTAAATTTTTTAATAGGACAAGTTAAGATACGAATTTTGATCGGTTATGAATTATAACAAACTATACTCAGTGTTTAGAGTGTGTAGGTAAGGGGGTGATACTCCTCAGTTATTGACATATTATGAAATACCTCCTTATTTTATTCATCGAAAAATGGCAAAAATTATATAAAAACATTTGAAACGAATAATTTATGAAATTGTTA